CTAATTTTATAAATGCTGTTATCGACTAAAACTTATGAAAAAATAAGTTTCTTTTACCACACAAAAACAAGGAGAGTTAAAAATATGATGATGGGTGTCGCTTTCATCTTGCTCAGACTGTTCGTCAATACTGAATGAAGCTCAGACGTATTTTATACCTTCCTGTGACCGTGATTACTTATGTGAAAATATCCGAATTAAGATAAGCTTGACTATTCATAGTATAAGAAATTAAGCCAAACCTAATTCACAAGGAAAATATTAGTAATTACTCTCTACCGTTGTAAATGTAATTAGTCAGATCTTTGTTGGTATTTTATTACACATTTATTTCATTTGTTCTAGTTCGATAAAGATTTTTTTTGTTAAATAAAGAAAGATTTTTCTTGTTTCTGACCGAGCTTTTATTAAAAGCAATATTTTGAATTGTTGCAGTATTCAGTACAACATCATGATGCCGAATCAATTCGTATAAATAAAACATATAAACCGTATAAAAACCAAAGGTAGCCATTTCGAACAGTTTTTTTTTTGGTGAGACCTTAATATATATGTAGGTATAAATTAAATAATATTACATTACTTCCTTAAAAAATCCATTTTCATTTGTAACAGAACTTATGGCTGGGCTAGGTATAGTACCCAATTAATTAAAAAATCAAAAAACCCGACTGCTTAAATATTACTTCAATTGAAAACTGAAAAGAAAAAAAACAAGTCCAGTAGTCTATAATTCAGTTAAGTAAGGAACAAAGCTACTTTAACAGTCGGGACCCATTAGCTATTCAAGGATGAATCAAATATTTTCAATAATGTTTTTTTCTTTTCAGTTTTTATTTGAAGTAATATGCAGTCGGGTTTTTTGATTTTTTAAATTTACCTTTTTTATTTTACGGTTTTTAGTCAGGATTATAAAACGGTATATACTGCAGTGTTGTCGCTTTAATAAGGGAGTTAATATCACGGGGATTATTAAGTACCTTGCGGTGGTCTAAACAATTGATTTATATGATATTACACATGACAAAGTACTTTTATTCGTCGACTATATAAAATTGGCAATGGCTGCATGCAACTCTAAGATTGTGTTTTTTTTTAAAGATAGGTCCTATAAATGGCTTCACCCCACCTGATGTTAGTGAGAAGTGAAGGTGAACTCCAGACGCGAAGACAGCTGATACAGCAGTTCTACCTGCCACACCAGCCATCCTCACCCTGCCGGCCTGTATGTTGCTTCTTCACGCCTCTTTTTTTAAGGATCCCAGGTTGTAAGAGGGAGGGAACACGTGAACGGGCAGAGCATTCCATTTACGGATAGTGCGACAAAGAAATGAGTCACCAAATTTCTTTGTACGCGCTGGAATTGGTGAAAAACTTTTACTTTAAAAAAAATCTTATTTAACAACTTCTCCGAGAGGAAATTTTTAAGTATTTTTTTCTTTATACTTACATTATATCCGAGTGGTAAAGGCTATATTCTATCCTGTTAAAATAAATTTCCCCCGTGCAATGCCGGTACCTATTATAATATAATATTATAGATGCGAGAGTGAGTTTGTTTGTTACGCTTACGCGCCCGAATAGCTAAATCGATTATGATGAATTTCCCTATAGAAAGAGATGGGACCTTGGTTCTAAGCTACATTATCGAAATATTTATAGGGGTAGGGTGATGGGAGCGGGGATTTTCGAATTTTGCAGAATTATCGTTTATAATTACAAAACCAACATTATCGCGAGTTGATAAATTAAGACAGGGAGTCTATTAGGTATGTACCAGGGATGTAACGTAGGTAAATTTATCGGAACCGAAGTCGGAGTCGGAGTTTTTAAATATGATTTATCGGAGTCGGAACCGGAGTCGGAGGCGGAGTCAGGGTCAGCAGCAGAGTTAGCAGTGGTCACAAGAGAGATATTTTTCATTGAAGAACAAATGAAAACATAATTTAGTCAACCTTTTTTCATTTTAATTATAAAATCACCTTTTTCATTTCAATTTACTTATTATTAATACACGCTCCTAACGCGACGGGTATGAACCAGTTCGTAACGGTCGACGCAGGCCGCCGTCGCGTCGCTATTTACTATGCTTCCACTTCCGATTGTAACCTCCGGTTTAAATGTTTCGGAGCCGAAGTTGGAACCGAAGGTGTAATAACAATCGGAAGTTCCGCCTTATCGGAATCGGAGTCGAAGCTCCACAATATCCGTACCTACTAGCGAATAACAGGTTGTTTCTCATTATGTTAAGTAACCCTTTAGTAACATATAGTAATATTATTAAATTAAACTTTGAAAAACGTTTAATTCTGAGTTTTGTATTAAATTTAAAAAATTATATACATGATAATTTATTTTTCATCCCACCACCTCGGAAAGTGTAATTTTGCGCTTCGAAATCTGGCTGGAAAATTCTATTTTATTCGCTTGAGCGGCAAAGTAGATTTGAATTTAGAACATCACATATAATGAGTACTCAATATAATTGTAAATTCAAAACGTCATTAAACCTATTTAATGTAACCTCTATGGTACCAAATTTATGATTAGAACTTTTTAAATTGTGAAAAAATTTAAATTTGGAACCTTCTTGGTTTCTTTGTTTTATTTGCGTGCTTCGCGCCATTCTAGTTTTTCACGTTTTATTGCTTAATATAATTAACATAACCTAAAAACTGTACAAAAAAATCAACTAAAATGAGTGACATTAGCGACGATGAAGTTTATCTAACGCCAACTGAGTTAACTGAAACAGTTAATAATGCGCAAATGAGCCTTCTCCCTCAGCAATCACGAGAGAAGTATTTGAAACAGTACGATATATTTAACATGTGGCGACTAGCTAAAGGAGCAAAAACTTTCTCCGAAAACGTTTTGCTGGCATATTTTATAGAATTATCTGAGACCAAGAAAGCAAGCACGCTATGGAGTACGTATTCAATGCTAAAATTAACAATTAAGATGAAGAAAGACGTTCATATCGACACCTATCATAAATTAGTGGCATTTTTAAAAAGAGCCTCATCTGGTTATAAACCAAAAAAATCGAAGGTTTTCACAGCATCTGAAATTGCAAAAATATTAAACTTAACATAAGTAACTGTAGCAACGTTACATTTAATATTTCTTAATTATTTTCTACTTCTTATTATTTTCTTCAATTTATAGATTATCTTAATGTGTTTTAATTGAAATAAAAATATTTTGTCATTACAAATTGTTTTCTTTTTCATTTTGTCATTTCCTCGCTGAGGTGGGATGAAAAGTTACGTATTGCACTCGAGTGGAAAGATTTTTCACCTTGTGCTCGTTTGTTTCCCTCGCTGACGCTCAGGATTCTAATTTAGAATCACTCGCTGCGCTCGTGATTCAACTTTAGAATCCTTCGCTTGCTCGGTCATCCAAATCGAGCACGCGGTTAAAAAGGAACTTTCCACTCTTGTATAATAAATAACTATTTCATCATTTAATAAGAAGGAACTTTATCTAAGTTTTATTGTAAGTACTTCGTATAGGATTTTATACTGCGAGTAGCCCATTTTTTTTCTTGTTCTCCTAGGTTTTTATCTACGTTTATAAACACCAAAATTCATCACTTTTCCCACCATTCCCGCAGTATACTCGTACTCCTGCATAGTACACTGCGCTATCACTTTGTCATCGTTGTATCTTTTTGAATATTTGTCGAAATTACACAGAGTAAAAGGCAAAGTTTATTGTCTTTAAATATCAAAAGCGATAAAAGTATTTGTTTTAGTAAAAAATAATTTGTTTATACAAAATATGCATTTTGGGAATTTATTTCAAATAATATTTTATTTTTGATTCAATATTATAGCTATAATGGTTTACATATTAAAAATAGATATATACATTTCCACCATACATTATATTCATGTAAGTTTTAATGTTTTTGCAGTGCAGGTCAAAATGGCTCGCAGATGGGAGATTTTTTCCGTCTTATGTGACACTTATTGTTAAATTTTGGCCAATTCACCAATTAACTACATAAATTATAATCTATATGCTATTATTATGTATGAGCTATATTATTGGTTAGTTTGATCAAAATCCATTCAGTATTTTTTGAGTGAAAGAGTTACAAAGATCCATACAAAGATAAGATTGAAATTAAAAGCGCAAGTGGTTAATATACAACTTCAAATCGTTGTAGATCCTAAACAGTCATATAAAATGAAAAATTGTGTAAGAAACCTTAACATGATTTTCGATTATCTAGACAATGATATCCCACTTGACATATACGTGGATTTCGATCACGTATTATAATATGGGTTAGTTTCCAATAACATTTTAATTTTAACAAGAAATGTGTCGCTACATATCTGATACCAAACAAAACATTCAACAGAAACATTGTACCCAGGCTTCAACTGAATCTAATTCGAAATTAGTTCTTATTAGGAACTTAATGAGTTCTGCAAATAAAAGATCATAGTCAAGAGCTGACATAAATAACAATATTATTTTGTCCTCTTTGAATGTGGCATGTTTAGTCACTGCTGTTATCTATTTTGAAATCCTTTTCGAGCATTATGCTTGCGAGAATAATATAATCACAATCAAGCCCAAACAAATAAATATATATACGGCAAGAACAAAATTGTGTCTAAATAGTTTTTATTGTCACGTTTAAAGGCATCGCAAAGTAATATTTTGTGAGAAATTACTTAGCGCAAAATAAATGTCGATATTCAAAAAACTAATATAAAATTCAAAACTTTTTTGCACTCACTGCTTTAAACGTCATGCATTAGAACCAGGTGCCATGTTAATACGCACGAGTTGTAAGCCTCCTGTACTTTCTGAGAAAATATTGGTGTTTACTAAACACTTTCTAGGCTGGTTAAATGCAAACAAGTTTCCCTATTCCTAATCCTATGTCATAATACCTGGTAATAAAGCAGACAGTCGTATGTACGGTAGTAAATGTAATTCTCAAACGTGACGTAAGATCCGAGTGATTCATGGAGTGGCAGCTGGCAGCTTGTTGGCTCTTTTGTTCCCGCTCACTCAGTCACTCAGTATGCCGTGAACGAGTTAAATGTATCCAATGGAGTTTTCTCATTAACTAACTTTACCAACTTTTTACAATTCTCCAAAAGTTATTCGAGTCAAAACGAAGTCAAATAAATTAATAATTGGTGCGTTGGACGTGAAGTGAGTGATAACCTGTGTAACTTCGCTAACAGATGTTTATTTATAGATGCCGCTTTTTATCAACGTAGGTAGGTAGTGGCTAGATCGTGCGTCCCGCTCGCACACGAAGAAATTTCCTGTTGTCTCATTCCAACCAACGTGGAACTTGTTTACATTTTGTTGATCAAGAGTACAGAATGAATGCCTTGATTGTTTTAATATGTGCATTTTTCGGGTAAGTGCTATTTTTATATTACTTTATTTTCTCGTTGTAGTTGTTTTCTAAGATTTATTTAAAAGGAGATTCCATATGTTTTTTACAACACTTATTAAATCTCTCTTCAATTGTTACCCACTCTACTGTGTTTTGTTACAAGGGTACCAAAGAAAATTTAAATAACAATAATAGACCTACAATTATTACTTTATATGTAAGCCTGACGTCTTTCATTATTTTAGTCCAGCCTGAAAAAAAGCGTTACGAAAAAAATGCGTAACCGCTATTTCTAAAATTTTCAGTATTGCGACATTCACTCCGCTTCGGCCATCACCAGCTCTAATCCTGACCCCTTACATCGAAAGAAATGAGACAGAATCGGCCAGAAACGCGTCACGTGTTGACCCAAGCAAGTTCCTCAATGTCAGCAGTCACTCTGGTTTCTTAACAGTGGATGTAGTTAAGAACACCAACCTGTTCTTCTGGTACTTCCCTGTGGAGAACAAACCCCTTAATACAACTCCATGGATCATATGGCTACAGGGGGGACCAGGGGCCACCAGCCTAGCAGGACTCTTTCTCGAAATTGGCCCCTTTCAATACGATAAAGAGTTAAAATGTAAGTTTTGCCAGTACTTTAGTGTTATAAATAACATAGTACCTACCCAGTCTCAATCACCAAATAGATTTTTCCGCGTCATCCTAATATTGACAGTTAACTTTATCACTAAAACTCCACTGGATATCTATCTTTCAGCGGAATATGTTAAACTAAAGGAAAATAGTAAGTTAAGTTAATTTAATAAAGACAATTACCATACCGACCCTAGCAAATCACACTCACACCAATTAGCCTAGCCCCAAAGTACAAGTAAGCACTGGTAGGCTTGTGTTATGGCACATACATGAAACGTTATCTTTCGACGTTTTCGCAAATGGCAATGATGAAGAGCCCGTGGTCCTATCGGTTTGTCCTACTACTATGTACTAGTTCAAGAGGATTTAAAATTGAATTCTCGTGCATGACACGCCCTTTACTCTAACGGTGCTGCGTGACGCGACGAGGATAAAAGCAAAAACAAATCAAATTATCTTCAATACCGCATTTATTTATTATATGAAGTTAGTTTGAACTTAGAATAATCTATCTGAAAACAAACTACTAATCAAAACGTTTTTTTAATTTCTACAAAATATCGATATCTCCCTCAAACTATGATTACAAATCTTATCATGCGAGGGTCATGCGGTAGGACAGTTCTTTCACCGTAAAAAACTGCGGCCAATATGTCGGTAGATAAATAAGTCCTACTTATTATTGAACATCTTCAACCTACCTCCAATGAAACTAAATCGAATACGAAACGAAACTATATAGAGTTGATAATTCTACGCGAAAAGTTATCTTAACTTGTACAATGATACCAAACCCTAATCATACTGTATCTCATACTGAGTGTATGAGTTCGATTCCCACTTTTTTTTAAACTAGGTTACCACCATGAGCACCATCATAATGAGGGTTTTCTGGAATGATGAGCGCCAAGTGGCAGCATTGAGACGAAAGGTCTACTCAGCCGTCAAACCCATAGAGCAACATGATCACTGCCACGCGCCACTGTCTACTTATGACATACGAAATATGACGTTTACAAAGACGGGGGCGTTAGCTCCAATTTTCGCCACATTTATGAAGATCTTGGTCGCACTGTATATGTCGTCATAGTCTATGGTTTAATTTAAATGGTTGTTCGAATATTTCGCGCCATAAGCTTCATACTCTTTTGTATACTCATGTCACAACTGGTGGAGTCAATTTTCCTAAACAGCCTAAATAATTTAAATATATTTCTTTCAGTGCGTGAATGGTCGTGGAGCAAAGAGTATTCTCTGCTGTTCATTGACAGCCCAGTGGGCGCAGGTTACAGCTTCACGTCAAGCGATGATGGGTTCGTGTCTAACATGGACGAAGTAAGTCGACAGTCTCAAGTTATAACGCAACTGCTTTCGGTTAATTGTTAAATGTGTCAAATTTTGGAAAGAAGTTCATTTGGCGGACGTTACGCACTAGACGGATGGGGCTAGGCTAGGCAAAGAAAAGTGTTAAATATTCCCGCCACAACCACAGAACATAAAAAGAGGTTTCTGTGTTCTGTGGACACAACCGCCAGTTGTTTCGTAGTAGTACAGTCAATCTGTAGGTTGAATGGTGAAAAATAACCTAAAGGGTAAGTCTTGTTTTTTCTGTTGCCAAATGACCTTGGCGATGGGCATGTTCAACTCGTAGGCGTTTTTTGAAAAACTGAAAAAAACCCTCAAAAAATTTTTGAAACGCATTTTTCTTGTTTTGTTTACATTTTAGAAACTTTTTTTTCGACCATAATTGTAGAGGGCGTTGAGAACTACCATTTATGTCATTGTTGCAATCTCGTACAACAAGAAATGCGCACTGTAGGTGGCGCTAAAGTCTCAAAAAAAGTGTTCTTTCACTTTTTCACGTTTACTATTTTTTATTTTTTTTCATGATTGAAAAAAAAGTAAAAACGTACATTGAAAAGAGCACTGCAAATGTGTACTTGAACTGCCCAAAAACCGCTCTATTGGATTTTTCATACCTGCGCAATTTATAACTTGAAAACGGTAAGAAATACAAAAAAAATTGTTTATACAAAAGTTGTTGGTAATTATGTAGGGAACAACTTTTCCATTTAAAGTTTTCCATTAAAATGATATTTTCAGAGTGAAAAAGTGAAAAAACACTTTTTTGAGACTACAATGCGCATTTTTTGTTGTACGAGATTGCAACAATGACATAAATTGTAGTACTCAACGCCCTCTACAATTATGGTCGAAAAAAAAGTTTCTAAAATGCATACAAAACAAGAAAAATGCGTTTCAAAAATGTTTTGAGGGTTTTTTTGAGTTTTTCAAAAAACGCCTATTAGTTGAACATGCCCATCGCCAAGGTGGCTTACTGCCGTCATTTGGCAACAGAAAAAACAAGATTTACCTTTAGGTTTTTTTTTCACTGAAACGATTTTTGTTTCGACAGATTGACTGTACTATAGCGTATTGGTTGTAGTCGTGTACTTATAGGTAATTATTTTTTCTTTCTTACAATATCTTTATACTTTGACTTTGAGTGAGATTTTCGACTGTAGTGAAAAAGTGGATATTTTATTAAAAGTGCAACGAAACATGTTTATATGGAAACCGTCTGACCGATATACACAAATGCAAGGTTTTGGACCACTAAGATCCACTTGCAGCAATCTCAATTTAACTAAAACTAGATATAGCCCATACCATGACAAATTTACATTGACGTTTTGACATTTTTCTATGTGGTATATCCAGATTTAGTTGAATCGAGATTTAGCAAATTTGCTGCAAGTGGACATTCATGAAGTCGATTTTCAACTTTTCCATTTGGGGTGGCGTTCTAAGTTTAAATTGGAAATTTTGATTCGCAAGAATAATTTCTTCTTTATCGGTATGTAACGAATCAGCGTAGCAAGTAGATGTTTAAACAATAATACCAAAGTGTCATATGCGCGTTGCCGAACCTGACCTTATCTTCGAACCCGCGGAACTCTAAAAACCTTGTTTGCCAACCAGAAACACAGCACTACAAAAAAGAAGTGTAGTTTCAGTGCGACCATATTTAAAAGGTTAAAGTTATTTTCGAGTGATAATCCTTTATGGCCTGAATCTATTAGTTAATTTTCATATCTAAGGAACTGAGGATCTTGACGACGTAGGTGGTTAGCGAATTTTGTCTTTTATCGTGAAATATAAACAACTTTTGCAATCGTCGATAATTGTATAGTAGACCAAAAACTTACTATGTTGAGTATTTTCGTGCTTCGGAAGGCACGTTAAGCCGTTGGTTCCGGCTGCATCTGCAGCAGTTAGATAGCACCCACTAATCGCGTGTTTGTGTGGTGGATCGTCGTGGCCCATTCTCCCTATGCCGTTCATAGGGAAGGCCTGTGGTTGCCAGATGGTCGGGAATCGTCTGGTTTCTCCCGACATTCTATGTGATCTCCAGACTTCCGATATATAATGAAATCTCCCGACAAACGAACATGACGATGCACTTTTCGTTTACCCTGTCCGCGTCTAGCTTCAGTAGGACGTGAACCGTCTAGCGGGGGGTGGATGGGGTTTATTCTCTCGACAACAATCCCAAAATCCCGACATTTTAAAATGTGATATTTTGACTTCTCGATCTCGCAACTCTACCTGTGTGCAGCTGTGGGAGTATTAATAGGCTGATAGGATAATGATCATAAAACTAGGAAAGGATAGCTATATATTGTCGTTATAAATTACGAACTTCTTTTTAGTGCTCCGGGCATTTGTACGGATTTTTGCAACAATTCTTGGAGTTGTTCCCCGAACACCGTCACGCGCCGCTGTACCTCGCCGGCGAGTCGTACGCTGGACACTTCGTGCCTGCGCTGGCGCACAGAATACTGCACCCCCCTCCGGAGATCCATAGAAGCGCCTTGAGAGACATATCCATCAATCTGAAGGTACCTTTTTTTTTATTTTTTTTTATATTTTTTTTTTGTGACGAGGGAAATGCAGTTACGCTCCATACCGTGACGCTGACTAGGCGCACGGCGTGTGTGGGACTCGCCGGCACGGGAAACAGTGCCGACCCTACTCAAGCAGGACCAGTGCGGAAGGCCACACTGATCCTACTCCACTAAAACCCTCTCCCCCTACGCCCATATGGGGGCGTCTCAGGATCGACGCACCTTAGCGTGCGCCACTTCACTGGGACGCCCCCGGGATCAATCTGAAGATGCCTATGTTTTTACGTTAAAATGGTGGCAAACAAGCTTATTGATTAACAATCTATTTGTATTAATCGCGTCAGTGTCGTTTTACGTTATGCGCTTTCTAGGCAGAACTGAAAACCAGTGCTTTGCTCTCAGCGAAAAAGGTATCGCTGAGTGTTTGCCTTTTTCGTTTCTTTCTTTTTAGTTGTGTGCCGCAACTACATATTTAGTGAATAATTCTTCTATTTGTTTACTTGAATTTATGTGCTGTACTGATGAGAATAAATGATTTATCTATCTATCTTATGGCCCGCCTGATGGTAAGCAGCCACCAACCTATAGACGCTTGCTACACAAAAATATCACTCATGCCGTTGCCTACTCTGACCCCCGTGGAGTCCAGGGGGCCATTCGCCTAACGGAAATGCTTTGGAAAACGCTAACGCTTTCGATTTTATTTTGTTATTTCTGACCGCCGAAGGTTTTCAAATACCTCACGCTCATTTTTTTAATATTGTTATTACCAATGCAAAAAAAAGAGCTGGAACCTTACTCACCGACAGAACACTATACCACCAAGTGTTTGTGTTATTTTACTATGATTTTCTGTAAGGTGGAGGTTACTTCCCCAGACGGGTGTTCCAATACTAGCGGGAAAGCCGCTATGCCCTACCTCTCTCAAATTGTAATAATCCCACTAATATTATAAATGCAAGGGTTCGTATGGATTTGTTCCTCTTTCACGCTAAAACGGCCGAACGAACCGTTATTAGGATCTGTCGTGAATAGTGCAGATGTAACTGTGCCTTGTTTACCTGATTCCCATCATACAACAGCACCACTTAACTGGAAGCTGTTTCCAGTGTAGAACCTAGACCTGTCATAACTGTTATTGCCAAAGTCACCATCAGCGTACCCTACAAGGTTTTGGACTAAGGATAACGTGAACGAATTCGCAGACGCAAGCTAGTCATCAAATAAATATGAAAAATCTGCCTTATGGATAATTTATTGGAACTTGTACAAAATTATTAGAATTAAATATCGCCGAAAAAAAATACTTTAATGTTTCTAGCTACAGAAGAGTTTACTGTTATTATCTAAAATTCTCTTTAAAATTTCAGGGTTTGATGTTGGGAAATCCGCTGATAGATCGGCGAGACGAAACCGACATATCGTCGACATACTACCAGTGGGGTTTGATCGACCAACAGGGTAAGTTGGTCGTCCAGCCGCTGCAGCACCAATACGAGAAAGCGATAGAGAAAAACGACAGCGCTGCAGCGTACAAAGTAACTTATTTATTAATTACCTAAAACAACTCAAATCAACCTAACATCGCATTCGGCTTTGCCTCTCGTGTTTTAATCATAGATGTATAAGAATAGAGTGGGAGAAAGAAGATGAGATACGGCTAGCTATCTATCTCTCTTGTGACGCATGGCATCCAATGGCATCACATCAAAATAGTAAGATGCTTACGGTTGCCAATGCGCATGCGCGATTAGAGAGAGAAAGCTAGCAGTCGCATCTTCTTTCTGTTTCTATTAGAAGGACACTTCCACTTGTAGTAGAGTGTATATATCTCCCCTACTCTATTCTTATACCTCTATGGTTTTAATACCCCTTCTTATATGACAGTCCCATAATCTAATATAAATCAATATTGCTTCTATTATGGCCTTTACCTTTTTTTTTTTAATTATTTTTTCTAAAACATCTGTATTTTTTTACAGTTACGCAATTCTTTGATAGACCGCCTGTCGGAACTTACCAACCAATATCAAACTTACAATGTTCTAAAGGATGATATGGAACTCCAACGTTTTATGGAATTTATTAAAAAACCCGAAATAGCACAAGCTATCCACGTCGGCGATAGAGGTTTTACGTTCTCCAACAGCGAGGTACACACGAAACTGATACCGGACTTCTTGGAAAAAGCCAGCACAAAAGTAGAAGAATTGCTGGAGCATTATAAAATATTAATCTTTTGGTAAGAATATTTTGTAAGCCCTCTTTTTAACCACGAGCCATTAAAACTGTACTTTTTGGGCCGGGGAGTTCACACTTCATAATCGCTCAGTTCGCGCGTTATGGCCACAACACTAACCTAATGGTAGCCACTCACCATTATGCCGCTTGATCAAGAGGCTTTATCAAATATGCTTGATCAAGCCAAAATCCTAACGTCACGGGGCTTGTCCACCTAAAATGTCTCCACAAACACAGTATGTTTGGCTTGATCAAACCTATTTGATTAAAACTGTACTTCTTGGGCCGGGAAGTTGACACTTCATAATCGCTCAGTTCGTGCGTCATGGCCACAACACTAACCTAATGGTGGCCTCTCACCATTATTTCATTTGATCAAAAGGCTTGATCAAATATGCCTGATCAAGCCAAAATCCTTACGTCAAGGGGCATGTCCATCCAAAATGTCTCGCAAACAAGGTCTGTTTGGCTTGATCAAACGTATTTGATCAAGCGGCTGAGTAGTGAGTGGCCACCATAACCTAGTTTGAAGTGTGAACTCCGGAACCCAAGAAGTACAGTTTAGCCCACGAGGCCTTTAACTTAACGCGATAAAATCCAGACGTGCACGTGGTCATTTGATGGAAATGGTAAGGTGGGAAAAAGAAAATAACTAAGGTCTATATAAAACTAGCAAAAAAAAATGAGAAATTTTCATAGTTAAATACAAATACAGCATCCCGGTGTTTTTTTGGTGATTTCCAGTAGATATAAAAGAAATCCTACAAACCTTGTCCCGTCAGTAATAATAAAGAACACAATAAAAAAAACAATTTGGTGCAGTCTTTCAAAAGTTATGCTTACATACATTTCGGCGGTTAACTTTTATTAAGGTATTTTAAATTTTGTCCTACAGCGGCCAGTTAGACCTAACGGTGCCTTACATAGCCAATGCTGAAGCCAGAAGGAAGAACTGGCGTTGGAGCCATCGCAATGATTTCCTGAAAGCACCTCGTCTTCCGTGGCTGTACAATGGCAGTTTAGCAGGGTGAGTACAGTAAAGAAAGAATTACATTTTTTGAGGATATGACCATCGAACAAGAAATAATATAGAGTACGAATTGCACTGAAAAGTGGCTCCATGTAAACTGCAATCAAGTGGGCGGGGCGAAAAAATGCGATCAACACGCCAATCATGGGATTGTTTGGGATTTCCGATTAATATTATGTTACTAAACGAATGGATAACCGAATTCATTTAGTATTTAAGTTCAGTTGTATAAGTTTGGCCCATGGTTTAGCGGCCTTTGTTAGTGAGTAATGCTTTCATATGATTTCTAATTCCATGGTTATACTTATATTATCACACAGTACCAATAAGGTACACACAACACTACAGAAGAGAAAGTACATATAGTCGCAGCATAATTTTATAAAGGCAAATGGATTGCCATTGCAGCGCTGAAATTCTGAACGGATCTAATTTGGAGTACACGTTTCTTGCCCATAGCAAAACCTGACTTCTTTTTCAATGTCGACAAAACTAATATTAAGTTTCCAAGAAAAGTTATAGAACTATAATGCGATTCAACTAAGAATAGGACCGACTGGGCACCATATTGTGATGTCATAGCTGTCAATTCAAACCAAATAAGTAGAGTGAGCAAAAAAAAGTTTTTATTTAATAAAACTTATTTACTAAGATTAAGTGAGAAAAAACATCAGATTTTTTTGATAAAATTTATTTTCTATTTTTAATAATATTAATTGTTATTGTAATGTTTTTTCTCACGCAATGTTATTAACATTGCGTGAGAAAAAACATTAATCAGAATCTAGCTCTTCAATTCCGCTCATATGTGCATTACCGCCGGAGTATTTATGAATAATCATGCACTATTAGATACTAGATCACATACGAACATGCATCTTTTATGTAAACGAAAGTTTTAAATCGAGTGTATGAACGCAACTTAAAGTGTAATTTGGTTGACGATTTAGGTTATCAACCAGTCATAGCCATAGCTCAATAAATGAAAAAAATCGATATTAATTATCAATATTTGTTATTGTTTGTTTACAAATGTTTGGTTTTTATTCTAGAATTAGCAGAGTGCTAAAAAAGGATTCCAAGTTTTTATTTTTATTGCAAACGGTACTTTTCAAGCGACATTTGACAGATGGAGGTCATTGGCTTTCCTCTCTTATGGTTCCTCGGCTTGTTATGGTCTCTTTGTTTTGATGATACGATAAATCCAAATTAGATTTTCATCGTTCTTTAGATATTGTTGGAGAAATACACCTGTCAAGATCATTGGCGGTTCCAATTCAAGTAGTAATAATGTTCAATTCAAAACTCACACATTAAGTGTGAGTTGCACCACAGAGCTGGTTAAAGTAAAATTTTAGTAACACTTTTTAACATGAGATGGCATGACAGTTAAAGTTAAAGTAAGTTTGTGCAACAAACGCTTCAATGTTTAAAGTTTGTGGCAACTACTTCTATATAAAAGACCTACAACTTCAGAAAAATCTAATATATAAAATTCTCGTGCCACAGTGTGCGTAATTGAAGTACTCCGAAACGGCTGGACCGATTTCCGTTAAATTTTATATGCATATTCAATAGGTCTGAGAATCGGACAACATCTATTTTCCATCCCCCTAAATTTTAATGTAAAGGGTATTCAACCCTTAATTTTTTTTCAGGACATTTTTTTTGTTTTATAATTTCCAAAAATACATACAACCCTAAACTTTCACCCTTCTACCACCTACCCCTATTTTTTTCATCTCGGTACGAAGTTCGCTGGGACAGCTAGTATTACGTATTATAAAGTTGATTAAAAATCAAGTTATAATTTTATTTGTTTTTTGCAGTTACGTTAAAAGTGGCGGTGGCCTCACAGAGGTGCTTGTGAGGGGTGCAGGCCATCTAGTGCCCTTAGACAAACCGGCTGAAGTGAAGCAGCTGATAACTTATTTCATCAACGGGCTGGATCTACCGTCATCGACCCAAGCCAAAGTAATTGCACTAGAAATACCAACGTATACTGAAAATAATGAAGAAAGGAAAGGTGTGACGCCCATCACATCTTCTACACAATCCACGAACGAAAATGAGAAGGCTAACACACCTTCTTCACAATCCGCAAAAGAAAATGTGGTGCCTTCCACATCTTCTTCACAAGCGAAGAACGGAATGGTAGCCAGTGCAGTCCTTAACGTTATCTTGGTAATCATCATCATACTGGGAATAGTCTACTGGGTAAGATGGAAGAGAAGGACCGAAACTTATTACTATGATATGGTGGACAATACTTCCCTAAACGACGCAGTGCTTACTATGAACTGATGAAGGAATATTGTTGTAGATAGAGCGATACGGAGAATCGATCAGTGTGAATAATTATTGAAATTATTTCAACGTTAAAAGATGTTCCCAAAAAAACACATTTGTACACACATTATATGTTATGAGTATGATAAGTCAGCTTTGTGTTTGTGTCCACGATTAACTATCTAAAAACAGCATCTTAACTTAGAATAATTATCATTCCAAGGATCTTACTAGTGTAAAGTGTATCAGGGTGAGAATGTCGGCATATTAAGTATTTGGAGGTCCAATTCCCATTATAACAATAGAATTTGAGTGGTGTGGTAATCATTCTAAAAATCAAACTTAAACAAACAAAATGTAATTTATCAGCCATGATACTATTCGATGGTTGTTAAGGCTGTGAGGTAAACAATAATGAGGTGGTATAACCACTAAAACTATTTTGTATTTTGCTGTTTTTATAACTGATAAATAAAAATTCGAATCGTTCTGTCTTGTTTTATTTGTATTCCATTATGAATGAGTCAACAATGAACTTGGCTACTTCCGGCACTTCTATGGGCACCATGTGGCCGGCGTGACGTATCAACACTTCTACAAAGTTGCCACCGCTTCTTTTATAACTGTAAATAAGTTTTATTATATTGTAGTGGAAACTAAGACATTTCTTGGTCGGGATTTTCAGGCTATACCTACACCTAATGCAGAATTATATTCGTATGTCTTATAATCACTTTTCAGTCGATAGATATATTAACTACGATATTATATATGTCAACGATTGACCACACTAAATATCACAATATCACACGCCTTGGGGAGTAGGGTGGATCGAAAAACGCGTTTTTTCTACAATACAATTCTAATAGCGCGGAAAACTTATGCATAGGCGTCATTATAAATGAAAAAATGTTAAAAATATTTTTATTTTAAAATTTTGAAATCGCGCAGTATGCCTAAAGTTAACTTTTGGGAAGAGCGGGAGCATTCTAAGTGACCGATAACAGATAAAAGAAACATATATCTTGTCATATAGTATGCAATCTTTATCTTACCCAACAATGCCACCTTTGTTAGAGCTACGCAGGCGCTTCCTTGGCGCTTTATCGAACTCGCTGCGACGAGACCAATTGAATTGGTCATGTGTGTGCTTCGTCACGCCGTATGGAAGTAAAAGATCCAATTGACCGCTGATAAACAAAAGATAAACCATGAAATCATACAGAGAAAGCAAGATGAGTAATTCGACAGTGTGTTTAAATTTCGGTTTCAGTCATAGGAAATTACTTACTTCACCTCATCTGTATCCTTAGCACAAACCAATAATTATATTATATCCTTAGCACAAACGAATTCAACTATTCTTTAAGTTTTGTATGAAATAACTATTTTAATTTTTCGTTTCAGCTATTGTGGCTGTTCAAAATTTCCGGACAATTTAAAAAACCCGGACAAAGTCCGGACAAAAGGCAAAGTCCGGACATGTTCGGACAAATCCGGACGGATGTTAACCCTAGATGCAGCCTTCCTCGCAAGACACCCTGAAAGCTATCCTTCCTACTTCAAGGAGATCCAGCAATCTTATCTAACCGCAAGAACACCACAACACAATATTTGGTTGTAACCGTCTGCAAATTAAATAATATTACCGGAGACCAAAAGTCTGATGTAGCTTACCTTACCGCCTAATTTGATGTCGAGAACAGAAGTTGATACCTGTAACACATGACCCCGTAATGCTCCAATAGCTCTTCGATAAACGGCTTCGTACTGTTCATAAAATCGGGAAGCATCTTCGTGTAAACATATTGATTGTTAAGGTCGAATGGCACGCTCCCTACATGGATCCAGCTACGGACTTCGGGCTTTGTCACGAACAACTCCAAGTCCGAATTGACGCTGCCCCCTGAGTCTTTGTTGAAGTTGTAGATGCTGATGCCACTCTGCTTCTTTATATACTCTATGGTTTCGTTGAATTTCTACCGGGATAAATAAGGGTACATTAGGAGACAAAAAAAGTTTTGCGGCAATGTGACCATATAAAAATAAAACCGCTTGTAGGTTTTATAAACAAGTCGAAATGAACTTCAAATTCTTACTTAAAAATAATTGTTTTACTTTATTTCTCCCACAGAGACAGCTAAGTAGTGCCCTCACAATGGGGATATTAATAAGAGGAGAATGATATCATTATAAAGTTATTAATATCCCCACTACGGAAGCAGCAAAGATCAACGGCTTAACGTGGCTTTCCGAAGTGCGGAGGAGTTTGTTAATAGGTACTTCAATAATTTTCTTGACATTTCGAACCTTTTCATGTTCTCGGTCCCAAAAAGTTTTATTGCGTCAATAAGTGATAGATAGGTAGCGGCAAACTGAGCATAACCACAGACAAATAAAATCGTACAATACCTAGATTTTTTTGTAAGTAAAATTGCTACTGCATATGCTCCTTGTCTAAGTTTTGCCCACACACACCTCATATTATGAAGAGACGTATAATATGCACTTGTGGCCCGCCCTCGCTTGTCTTCGGTATTTTATCCCCTTGGGGGTAGAATTGATCAAAATCCTTTCTTAGCGGATGCCTACGTCATAACATCTACCTGCATGCCAAATTTCAGTCCGATCCGTCCAGTGGTTTGGGCTGTGCGTTGATAGATCACTATGTCAGTCAGTCACCTTTGAGTTTTATATATATAGATTAACGTACCGCCTATTAAATCTTTTTCATAAAACTGTTAAAATTTTGTTTACGAAATGCATAAGAAATTGAAACTGACATTTGCTGCATCGACCATTTTTCCCTCATCGAGCAATGCGACCGCAGCATCTTCAATCTCTTTTAGTTTATCCAACTCTTTTCCTGCTAGTAGCCCAAGGACGCTGAGAAGCTCTGTATAGTGCATCATACTGCGGGGGTCTATAATACCATTACCGATGGCTATACCCTAAAAAAAAATGGTTGCCTGTAAAGTCGGTTTTACGGGCGAAGATTTTACGTGACAACGTCTTTTTCTCGGTAGAATATTTATTGATATGAATATAATTAAATTGCACAATAGGAACAAGGAATTGAATGAAAATAAGAATTGCACAAATTTTAACTATAGAAATATATTTTGTTTACTAAAACATTGTACATGTAAACTTAAACTTAACACGAGAGACTCATCGTAACGTTACCGAGCGTTACACTTTTTCATAAGTGACTCCCAGCCGCAACCTAATTTAAGACGTTGTCACGTCAAAAACAATGGAACAGCTTTAATACTTAAAAAGAAAATAAAATTAAAATTAATAAATTCTTTAGCTTTTAAAGGGAAAGCGGAATGAATTAAAGTTAGATAATCAGCTCCCAGATGGAGCTAGGCTCACTACTTGAACAACCCAATTACAGTAACGTTTTAATTAATTTGTAGTCTTCTGGAAAGTAGATGTTATATTGCTAGAAGGGCGATGAGATACTGATCTACGCTCCGTTCGTTAGTATGTATAAATCTAGTTACTTACTTACTTACATAGTTAAGAAAGTGGTGCTTAACGGACTTAGCGAATTGGAGCGCAGATCTGTGAATCAAGTTCAACCTTACAGACGACCAAAGTAAAATAAAAACTTATTTCTGGTGATGTTGTGTGTTCTATTAGTGAGTAATATTTCAGAGGTTTACTGGGCAAGGGGTAGGTCAGGGTTTGCAACGTGCGAATGATACTCTGAAGTCTGATATCACAAGTGTCCTACTTGCCCCCTTCGAATAGGCTAGTTACCTACCACCAGGCAGACCATATGCTCAGAGGCGGCGTAAGGCGTACGCCACGTAGGCCACCGCTTAAGGCTTTGCGGTACAAGGGGCCTTGCGCCTCAAAAAATTTTATGCATTGCTTAAAAGCGAATTTCTTTTTTATATTTTTTTTTTAAAATCCGTCTTCAGGTGGACACAGAACAGGGCCTCGCGAAATCTGTCTTGCCCACATCAAATTTAGGTCTTGCCCCGCCACTGCATATGCTACTTAACTATTTTTCAAATAAAATACTATATATATTGGCGCAAGTACTGCCTTTGGCTGCAGAGACAATGGGTCCTTGGGGCCCTGCTGCAAAATTATTTCTTAAGGACTATTATTATTAGGATTATTTTTTCTTATGACTCGCCTGTGCGAGGCTACGGGGGACCCAAGATCTAGTAGATTTTTTGCTCAACGCTAATTCGTTGAGCAAAAAGGCAAGGCGAGGCAACGCTGCCAGTCTTCTGGGGACATTGCCCCGGTCCCTATAGGCGAACTCAATAAAATATTTAATTTGTAATTATTGTTGTACCTTTTGTTGACATATAATACTTATGTATATATCAGTCTGCAGTTCTGTACTCACTCTTAGATTTACGGGGTGGCTGTCGTTCTGATCTTGGTTACGGTGAATCTGAATGGCCAAAGCCGGCACGTACTTCCCGGCGTACGACTCCCCAGCTATGAATAGAGGAGCTTGCTCCAGCTCCGGGAACATTTGCAAGAGCTGGATAACGAGTTCATAAAGTTGTGCACCAACCTGTGTGATTGAAAGTTAAACACCAGGACTCAATCTCAGAACATACCTAATTCTCTTGATTCAATCCTCTTTTTTTTCAGACTTAAGTTATTTAAGACTCAGACCTATTTAAGACCAAGAACGTTATGTTTGTAAGTCCCTAGAGGAGACTCTTGTCGGACGTGAATTGGCTGGTAAAAAAAAATTTGAAGGTCTTTTTTTCCTCTGAAGGGGGTCGCTCAATTATAGGTCAATCAATTTCTAATGGGCTTAGATTTTTTCCTTTGGATTATAGTGGTAAGCGCCTTTCTGCTTTTAGGGCTGCGTTTTTATTTAATGGCGCTATAGTCGCTGTTAGCTAAAACCACTTGGCCGCTTTAGTAAATTATATGATATTTGTACTAATTTTAAAAATTAAATGTGATTTTGGTATATAGTAACGCCGTTAGTATCAGTAATGTATACGTAATAATTTTCTTTAATCGGCCTTAAGATTGTATTTATATTTTTATTGTATTATATCCACAAATATCGCTGTAGGAACTTTGATAAAGATCAATAAATAAAAAGTTGAATATTCTTTAGTAATTTCTTAGTTGGTATAAACTTACATCATCTTCGTTGTCAGTGTACCCATTATCGTCATCTGTGAAGCTGAAACCAGCACCGACGGGGCTATCCACAAACAAGAGTGAGTAGTCGCTGGCCCATGTCAAGTTCCGATGTTTTACTGATCAAGAAAAATAAGCTTTACTACTATGACGACCTCCGTGGAGCGAGTGGTATGTACGCCTGGTTCCAAGGTGTCTTCTACTAAGAGGTCCCGGATTGGAATGACGATGGAGCATGTGATTGTTTGATGAATACGAGCAAATGTACCTAAGTCATGGATGTTTAACATAATGAGATTCCATGGGCATATTTAAGATGAAGATCCCTAAAATACGAAACATGCTTTCATAAAAGGATAAAAAATTCATATCTAATTCAACTGAAATAACTAATAGGCAATTGTTATTGTATTCGCTTAACTGAATATGGGGTATGGTCACGAATGAACGCCTTCTGATCTTGTAACTGTAAACATAGGAACTATGTACTTGTATAATTTAACATTCTGAATACACAGGGCAGTAAATAAATCGGGTCACTTGCTCAGCTACCTTGGAAGTCTGATTTGATTTTCTCAAGAATTATAAAACTTACAACTATCAAAGTTATTGGTACCTACCTATAGAAAGAGCATTTCATGATGTTTATAAAATGAACAGGAATTTATTGAGATTTATAATTTGTTATCCAAATTTTATTCAGAATTTTCCAAACAAGAATTGTTTCCAATTATGATAATCGGTAGTAAAAAAATGTAAATAACATCACTATATACTAATCTGAGAAAACTATGAACAAAACACAAAGAAATGGTAAGAAGTATCATCTATGTAGGTACATAGGGATATAAAATACAAAGTTTTGTTAGTTACAACACTTATATCTTCATTTATATATAAGAGAACATTAATGGCAACTTTATTCAAAAATATCGTTGTGTTTATTGCTTGATTACACAGTAAGTGTCGCCGCATCAGGCCACACGCCACAGCCACAAACGCCGCCACGAAAAGTTAAAAGCGGCGCCATGAAGACTAAAGTAAGGCGTTTTGTATCGGCGCATCAAGTGGCCGGCGCGGTCCACAAGAAGCGAGCATCGACGATTTGTAGCGTGTGGCGGCCACCGGCGTACCGTGTGTGGCGAGTCCATATAAAATGTATGAAAACTACAAGAAATATGCAGGTGGCGGCGTTTTGTGGTTATGGTTGTGGTCGGTGGCCCGTGTGCGGCGACACTTAGTTGAACTTTAGAATAAAATTTTACTAATTTTAATCATAATTAAACGCGCTTTCTGTTGGTATACCTTTGATAGTAGTAAGTTTGATACTTTTTTGAGAAAATCGAATCAGACTTCCAAGGTATTATTAGTCGGTGACCCGGTTAATTTGCGGTTGCTTGTATTTTCAATATTCATAATATTTTCAGAGTGCTCGGCTCGGCAAAAAATTACTACATACTAATTTTGAATTCGTCTTAGAAAACCTAAAGCCGCCTTTTAATTAGTTTGACAGTGTTGTTATATAACATTAACGTGAACATGATAATATGCGGGTCATTCCCCACAAATACACTTTCTTCAGTAACGTTTAACTCTTTATTTTTAAACGATTCCTTAAACATAGACGAAGTCATAAATTAACAAAATATAATAATATTTCAACTAAAAAAGCTTTGATAAATATAAATCAAAACTACAAAAAATCATAACATAAATAATAAAAACGCTTTTTGAGATGAAAAAGTTAAAGCTCTTGAACTAACCTTTCCCATCATCTATTTTTAGAGGTCCTATCAGTTCGAATAATCCAAAAAGTGACGAAATGCCAGGACCCCCTTGCAACCAGATTATCCAAGGCACCTCCGCTTGGTTTTCATGTGGAAAATACCAAAAGAACAGATTCGAATTGTATTCTTCTTTAACGGTCAGGAAGCCTGAATGACTGTTGACACCGAGGAAGTTTCCGCTATCGACTTCTGATAAATGCCTAGCATGGCTGGCATTGCCAGCTTTGATGTATGGTGTAAGGATTAAACAATCTTTATTATTTCCAGCGGCAGTCGAGAACTGGTACTGTAGAACGTATGTACTGGAATAAAATATCAGATTTTGAATAAAATATATCACATATGAAGAGCTCAGTGGTTATAGAGAATGTGATTGTGCAAACTTTGCCACTCCAGTGTATAACTTTATACACTGGATAGGTGACACATTTTTTTAAAGTTATTAAAAATAGATCTCAACTGCATTGTAGCATTAATCCGCAGAGGGCTCTTATGCAAAAGATAGGTACGTCCTAAGAATTTAGCATATTTAGGAAATCTAATCACCGCAGTAAATTTTAAATCCATCCTAATTACATTTGTTATTAATTCAACTATGACATTATTTTATTCGCACCATAAATTTTAGTATCCTGCTATTTCTTCTTAATCTAATTAGCAACTTGTCACTTTATCACTATTTTTTTTTCATAGGAAAGCAATCTTCTTCCATTTAATTCTTAACATTAAAATTCTTCCATTTAACATTATAAATGTCCTTTACAGGATTCATCTTTACAAATTAATTTAAATAATAATAATTCCGAAAATATTACCTGACGATCACAAACAATACGAATGAGAACATGAATTCCGGTCTCTTGATAACAATAAAAAATTGAAAAAATAATATTGAATGTAAACGAAAATTTTGTTATGATTTTTTTAATGTATCGGACTTTTATAGCAGCACATACATATATGAAATATGCTAAAGCAAATCGACTTCGAAGCGTGAAAGATTTATTAACATGTGATCGTACACCACGTTTTGATTATAAATTAATACTAGTTTTTGCAACAATATGATTCAGTAGTTGCAAGCTGTTTAAATAAAATTATTAAATAACTAGCGGCTGCCCGCGACTACGTACGCGTTAGTTACAAATAAAGGTTCACTGCTTGTTCCCCGTAGGTGATAACGTGATAATATGTAGCCTATATGTTGACCCGAATTCTTAATAATATTCGTGCCAAATTTGAAGTAAATCCATGCAGTACTTTTTGAGTTTATCCCGGACATACAAACAGACAAAAATTCTAAAAACTATATTTTTGGCTTCGGTATCGATTGTAGGTCACACCTCAAGTATTCTTTTAAAAAATATTCAATATACAGTTTTGACTTTCCTACCATTTTATTATGTGTAAAGATGGCATTTGTGGCATATTATTATATAATGTTACCGGCAATCTATATAATCCGGCATTCTATACAATAACTAGGCAATGTATAGAATCTAAAGAAAAGTTTACTAGAAAAAAAAATATTAAAGTATAATAATCTAATCTTTAGATTTAAACATCTAGCAGTTAAATGCTTAAAAATAAATAAAAACATAATGTATAGAATCCCCAAAACGTCAAGGAAATGTAAGAAATATTATTCATTTTATACTTTTCCTAGGTATAGTAATAACTATTCCACTATGGTATTTAAATAATGAACTTACGAATCACAAATAATTAGGTATCACAAATATAATTAGTCTTTAAACTCTCAAAAACAAACAAAAACAAAATTTCATATTATTGTTTATGTTTATTAAAATAAAATCATAAGCAACTCTGTTACTTTTTATTAAATAACAAACTTTATATTTTGCCTCAAATCTTACAGTCTTTATTTTAACATCTAATTACTTTACAATGAAAGCTATGAATCTTATATACTGCTTCAGAGACCACTTTAAATATTTTAAGGTCTAGTTTTTTCTATAATTGTTATATTAGACCATACATCGTTGGGACAGTAAAAGTAACAGTTGTCGTTTTCTATAACACCTGACCTAAAAACTTGTACTATACTTATTTTAATCTTAAAAATTCTAACATGAGATCTCAACATTTTAGACTTAAAGGTTTTTAGAAACTAGTGACTACATAAAAATAACAATTTGGGTTTTATTTTTAATCATAATGAAAATGAGATCAACATTACTTCTCAAATATTTCTAACGGAGCATCAAACTGGTAGAACACTCTTTTACCTTTGTATACTTTTTTGGCTCTGGGACAATTGTAAGTAAATTTTCAAAAGGCTCCTAAAATAAATCGGTCTCAATCTTTCTGGAATCTTTCTGAAGATTCTGGAGTGTGCATTACTATACGAAGAGCCTTGGCTCGGTTTCTCCGTTTGGCATTTGCAGCTCGCCATTTTTTTTAATGGCTCTGTGTTCCCTGCTCGTTAAATCTTTAACGTTACGTTTCTTTGCATGACATCTTTCAAGGTCTTTTTATTATTTGCCGCCTCTATTTCAGTGTAATTTTTATGTCGTTCCCTATAATGTTTCCTTTTCAGCAGGCGTAAGAACCATCCTAGAAAGCAGGCAGAAGTACAAAAAGACCTGAAACAAAACATTTAATACCATTGAGATTTATATTTTCGTAGATTAAATGTATTATCACTCGAATTGATATACAAATGAGGGCACAGACTGAACAAAATGCTACTCTTTTACTCAGCTTACAACTATGTTACGTTAAAGTAGTAACAGAGTTGTTTGGTAACAGAATGGTAAATTTTATATTCCTTTAATAATTAATCACAATATAAAGCATAAAGTGATATAATTGCTACATCTTAAACAAATGCCCACCTCATACTACATATATAACGTAAAAGCATATAAAAAATACTGATTACTTACGTAAAAGTATCGGTAACAAAGTGGCTGCTGAATAAACACACGCGCATCCTCCCACAACTTTCGGCTGTCTGACTGGCGTTGCACTAAATTTCCGCCCCTTCGCACCTTCTCGAAAAGTCTCTGACACCGTGTCAATATTACTTAGGTGGCACGGTAGCGCCAGTTTTATTTCTGGGTCGAATTTACTATAGTAACAGAGTGCTGCCATGAATACTTACGTAACGCGGGACAAAATTTAAAAAAATCGAATTAATTAAAAAAAATTACAATATTTTGTTTTGAAGTATTAAACGTAAATTATAAATTAATGTATTTACTAATGTTATTAATTTTAGTTTATTATTAAAAGAGACAAACAAATTATTCGTCAATGATGTTACTGTCTTACTATATGGGACACGATGACTTTGTATGGAAAACAACTATGTAGCCAAACATTACCATTCTGTTACTTAAAAAAAGTGGAAAAAAATTAAATTATGTCGCAATTTTTTCCTGTTGTATGTTTTCTTTATTAAATTGTTTTTAATTTATATAACTCACAACAAACAATTATCATTAATAAAAAAAATATAAATATAGAATCTGGAGGGACACGAAAACCTGCGACGAATTCGAAAATGGCCCAAATCACTCATATTAGACCAGAAATCTTTAAGTAATCGGTGTACATATAAACAAAGTATCGTGAAAATTATATCATCCAAGTAATAATAATATTTATAAGAAGGGAAACCTCGATTTCGCAAAATTCCACCATCAGATCCTGAATTGGTTCCAATGAGACTACATCGGAAGTGCACTTTCGAATAAAAAAAAGAATTTAGGAATTCGGTCCAAAATTGACGGAGAAATCGGTAAACATGGATAAAAAAAATATCGTGCCTGCCTTTGAAATTTGAAAGTTTCCCTCGATTTCCCTGGATTCCATCATCAGATCCTGATTTGGTTATTCCAATGGGACCACCTCGGAAGTGCAATCTATCGAATAATAAAAGAATTTTGGAAATCGGTCCACAATTGACGGAGAAGTCGGTGAACATACATAATATATATATATATATATATATATATATATATATATATACATATATACAGTCGAACACAGAACCTCCTCCTTTTTTGAAGTCGGTTAAAAATATCTAAATAATAAACCTCGAACAAGCCAACATATTTATTTAATTGGCAGTTAATCGACTTACTTCTCTCACTCTGTATCACTATTTTAAAGTGCTCAACGAATTAGAAATTATATGGAATCATAACTCTCTAACAAAGACCTCATGGTTCCAAACCAAAAAAAACTCCATTCCTAATTCGTTGATAATGCTACAGTACATGGTAATGCCATAAAAAGTTACAGCAAAGTTAACATGAAGGCCTGAGCCTCTGAGGTAGGGCACAGCGGATTTTCCGCTCGAATTGAAGTGCCCATTGGGGAAAGCAAATTCCAGCTTACTAAAGACCACAGTAAAATAAGACTTCCGTTTGGACGCATAGTGTTTCTATTTTTTTTTTGAACTAGGTGTGCCCCGAGGTGTTACCCTCGGTTCCTAAAGTAAAACTTAGCCTATACTATGTGTTAATCCAGGGTGTGAGCTAACTCCATGCCAAATTTTATTAAGCCGTTTAGACGTGAAGAAGTAACAAAGATACACATTACAATCTTTCACCTTTATAATATTAGTGTGATACTTATTGTGCTGATGTACTTAAAAACTAATAAAATTAAGTAAGCTCTTTCCGTTTGTCTATCTGTCAGTGCGCTTATCCTAGGAACCGTACCTTGTAAGTACAGATAGTTGAAATGTGAACCCTACCTTGAACAGTAAATTAGTTAAAAATCATTAATAAAAAACAATTTCTATTACCGATTCAACAACTAAACAAAATAATGTAGAACATTTGCCATGGCGATCGTCAAACAAATTTGATTTTATTTGAATGAATTTAATTTAATGCAATGTAACAGTTAATATCGATTTATTGTTCTTTGTTTTATATACCTAACTAATTTTTTTGTGTATGCATGATAAGTGTTGCAATCTTGATCGGTTCGTCAATTATTAATAAGTTAGTACTTTGTTGATTGTATTATGTATGTAAACCGATTAAATAAAATAAAATAGAAAATGGGTGAAAAGCAAATACAGCCATTGAAATTCTTATACGATAGTACCTACGGAACCTTTCGTGTATGAGTCGAACTGGTATTTTTAGAAACATTTCGAATAAAACAGAAGTTGAAGTTGATCCGATCACACTTACGTAATACACCGATATAGCTACCAATCATCGTAAAAGGTAGCTGGAAAAACCGGAGCAGTAGCGTTGTATGTACAGTGTTTCCAGTTACATCCTCATAGAAACGACGATTTTATCGGCGCAATGATAACGCCGTATGCATTTTTACGCTGTTTCTGTACTGACGTTTAGCTAACTTAGCACAGAAATTTACATATTATCATTACCCCTCGTTTACACCAAGAAACAAGTCATATACTATGTTTTACTATGTTTTTTAAGCATTTAATTGCTAGATTTTTAAATCAAAAGAAAATTTTTACTACAAAAAATCCACGCGGACCAATCAGCAGACGGGACTCGAACCCGCACCCTTCGCTATCCGGGCGAATGCACTGACCATTATGCTCCCGTGGCCCTGATGGCCAAATATGATGGCCTGTTTCGGTTGTAATCCACGCGCTCCAACCGCGGATGTAAACACGCGCCCGTAATCCAAGGACGTTGAAGGTCAAATCAAAATTTGGATAACATTCTTCGTCCAGATGGATGGCAAAGGGCAAGGTCACCTTGGTTGGTACGCTGGATTACATCCGTCTAGAATAGGTCTTATGCTACCGCGGCTGCAAGGCAGCGCCATCTCTTCGTATTGTAGGTAACCCACAATGTCATATAGTTTTACACAAAACTTGTTAAAATACTTGTCTTGTTGTGATGTTATTTCGTTTACACTGCATAGACAACGAGTAACTTACCATTTTTATACATCACGAACAAACGACGAACTCCGTGACCGAGTGGTATGTAAGCCGGGTTTCATGGTGTCGCCTACTCGAGAGGTCCCGGGTTCGATCCCGGTGGGGACAGATGTCTGTGTGATGAATACGAGCATTTGTATTTAGGTCATGGATGTTAAATATATATTTCTATATAAATATACTTATATATGTAGCAGTGTATGCATTCTATCCGTTACCCTAGTACCCCATGATACAAGTCAACAGTCCTTACTTTGGGGGCAGGTGTGAGTGTTGGAAATATTTATTTATTTATATTTTACATACCAAAACGTGTACTGTGCAAGTTTATTTGTCTGTAATTTTTGTCAAGAACTTTATGGTCACAAATACCCTCCTAAAAATTTAAATCTTTAAACCTTCAAATGCTCGTTTCCACGCCCAATAATAAAAAGCACTCTATCTTTTCTAAAGCCACTGAAAAATACCGCTCCTAACCAGCCCCCTCCCCTAGCATGAGCACCGCAATATTATATATCGTTTTAATCACACTTAATTGTTAAATTACTACGGAGTTTGACAGTTCGACGCGATAAAAAAAAACGTGATATAATGTATATGTGATACTCATGCTACGGGGTCTAATGTTAGATATAAGTAAAGATAGCTGACGCAGTATAAGTAAGTACTACCCCGCGGAGCCCTAGAACCCTATTCACCAGCATAACACAACACCACTAAAAGGCACTGTTATTACGCTATACGCTCCTATAAAGTGAAGGTTGCTTCCCCAGATGGGCGCTCCAATTCGAGCGGAAATTTCACTTTCCCTACCGCTCTTATTTATGCAATAATCTTTCCATAAATTTTCATTATTGGGTACTATTGACTCCCAACAGTTAATAATTTTGACATTACTGCGATAAATAATGATGTTTCAGATCTGGCAGCACCGCGAGCGTGGGAATTTGTGTCCTCTTGCGGGCCGATTGCCGCCTGTTTATTCATCTCGTTCACGTTCCGAATGGTCGTATCGTATAGTATCGATGGTCTCGATGTTTACATGAACATCCTAAATATAGAGTAACTCACATTTGAGAGCGTGCAAGAATCTATCGCGAATGTCGGGCCGTGGGAGCGCGATTATGCTAAACAGGTCATTGGTACGCTGTACCTGTTTACCTACACCCCACAGGGTGCTCCGGATATGTTGATCTCACGCATTTTTATGGAGTGTTTAAAATTGTACCGAATGTCGGAGGCCTGGTGTTCTAAAATACAGGTAGAGCCTAGTTTAGACTCCCAATCTCCCACAGACAGGTTAATGTATGTATATTAATGTTAACCTATGTTTACTATGATCAGTTGATGTTTGTGGAGAGAAATAAATAAATTATTATTATCATTATTTTGTTATTTAGTTCCCACAGCAATCTTCAGAAAAAAATCTTTAACTGGCGATCAGCTTTGGGAACCAATTCTTGAGATTTCTCTTACGCTGTTTTCTTAAGTTATTTACGTTTATAATTTGTAATAATAATAGTGTGGTTTAGTAAGTGTAGTGTAGTGTTAATAAAGACTCCATTCTTTCCAAAACCGGATTTCCGCTTTGGTTTAAACAAACTAGGCGTAAAATTTAGGGAAGTTAATATTTTTTTATTGAAATGGAAGTTCGTGGTATAAAAATAAATCAAATATTTCTGATTTCATTGCTAGTGTTCGGATGAGTTCATCTTCAAGGGAGAAAGGTGAGTTTGGGATTCAATTTAAGTTACTATAAACATTGTAAAGAAGATATCTTCTATAAGAGGGAGCAAAAATATTAATTATATAGGCTTGAGTATTAAATAATCAATATATGTTTAAATTAAAAATAAATCAGCGTTTGATTTTCGCTGTAGAACTCATCACTCGAAAAGTAGCATCATCCTGTACGTAAGATTAAGATAAATCCAAGTTCAAGGCACAAGTGCAGAGCCCGGTGGGTATACAAGGTTCCCATACAAGCCCCTGGTCCATTGCTCGCCGGGCACCCAGGGCGCGAGGACACAATCCGATCACACCGTGCTCATCTGCGCGCAAGGATGCTGCGCTTCCTGTTATCCCTATTCCTTTTGACGTAAGTTCTAAATTTTGTTTACTTTTTGTAAATTTTTGGCTGCCATTTTAATAAATCATATATGGAACAGCAAAATTAATCTTTCTTGAAAATTGCAAAGGTAAAGAAAATCAGTTTAGTAATACTGCAGGGTGCAAAATTTTCCATGACGATTACAAAAGTCTATCACCTAAGAGGGTGTCGTTGAAAATGGACATAAATAATAATTAGTTTAAAACATACTTATTAATACCTATTCTTAATAAGAACATTTTGCCAGAATTTCATTATTTTGGCTACTGTTCGCATTTTTCCTTTTATATTCGTCTTTTTAGTCTGCATGTTAAAAATAAATTATCAATCGGCTCATTGCCTTCATTGCCTTTCTTATATGGATAGACTTCATGTTATTTTTTTTTCTTCCTTTTTTAATTAGGTAATTTAAAATTAGTGCCTATTTATTTTTTATGTATAAGTATAGAAAGATTAATTAACAAATAGGTAGAAATTTTGGCAAAAGAAATAAGGGAAAGAACTCAGGAGCACATTTTCGACGTGCGTTCTAATCCCAACATTAATTAACGCTTGCAAAACGCTTACAACTTCGATTTTCACTTGTACTTTCAACCTTTGGTCAAACTACTAACTTCCAAAACAAAGCGCTGCGAAAAACAAGACTTGAGTAAAGAAAAGTTTTCTCAGGAAATGTCATTTAATGTCCTTTTCGAAACGTTAGAATAGACGCCGGGAAAAAGTTTGGCAAACGTCATTATTGTTTCTGCGAACGAAAATTTAAATCTAACCGATTAAAACCTGTTAAATTGATGTTTGGTCATTTATGAACGCACACATTATCAATTCGAAAAGGTTTTTTTATTTCAGCAACTCAATAGCTTACCCTCTCTAAGGGGCAAGCATACGAACTGAATAAATCGGTGCGTAGTCAATTTAAAGCCCTCATAAATGCTAAAAAGCGGGGGCAAGATAAGCGGTGCATCGAGAGGAAGGTATGAGTATTGCTGTAACGCTGCCTGCCAGTCCCACGAGGTTCTGAACAGTGCGGAAGCTGACAGTGTGACACGTAAATTGCCACATTTCTCGGTAAAGATTGCAATCATATTGTTTAAACCCCATGTGCCCTTCCGAACTTTATGGTCAGTCGACACACCGCTTGTGTTATAGCTATAACTTGATGTAACGCTTGAGCTTACGTCTTGCAGCCGGTGCCTCTTCCTTTGATCCTGGATCTGAGAACACCGATAGTCTATAATAACTTAAAACGAACTTTATATTCCTGCTACCTATTCTTATAATGGGAAATCGATATTCTATTCGAATTTTCTACCCCTAAGATATCAACCATCTTCAAGTACTATTTTCAGTACAAAAAGCATGTCTATGCAATTTTCCTAGGCCCCTTTATCTCTTTACCAATATTCATTAAAATCGGTTGAGCATGAAAGCTTACCAAATAAAAAGGCAAAGCCACTTTCGGATTTATAACATTATCTTGGGCGCGACAATGCAAAGTATGTATAACCATTTTGCTGTTCGTATGGACTAATATGATGCATTATTTTTTTTACTGTCTTTAGATGTACAACATTAGTGTCCAGTGTGGAGCGCACCATGCTCCCCGAGCTACCACCAGGCGAGGCTCCTGACCCCATCCTGACCTTCATGGAGCGCACCTACAAATCTGGACGCGCTAGGTCCGGCTTCGACGCTGGATCTCCCGTCCTGCTCACACCGTTCCTAGAGCAAAACAAACTGGAGGAAGCCAGGGAGGCGGCTAAAGTAGAGTCTGATTACCTGCTTCCCGATATGGACAGCTACGCAGGATATCTTACTGTACGTGTTTTTTTATGAACAAAGGGTGTCAAAGAATATGATAGCCCGTCTGATCTTGATTCTCTTTAAGTTGAAACTGGAAAGTTACTTCCCCAGACGGACGCTCCAATCTGAGTGCGAAAACCAATATGACCCTCCTCTCTTAAAAATCGTCACCCGTTGTCTTATTGTATTGTTTTCGCAAAGAAAGTGACAGTATTAAATCTTAGAAAAGTCAATTGACGTTTATAATAAATGGCGGACGGAGCAACAACTAAATACCAATATTTACAAAATTATGTTGGATTTCCAAAATTAACTTGCGTAACATACAAACATACTTCCTTTTGTACAAAGAGTATATCACTATGTCGTTCACATTTCTAAAGTCGGACCGATTTCCAAAATTCTTTTTTTATTCGAAAGAGTGCACTTCCGAGGTGGTCCCATTGGAACCAAGTCAGGATCTCATGGTGGAATTCGGGGAAATCGAGAGAAACATTCAAATTTAAAAGGCACGCACGATGTTGTTTTATGCATGTTCACCGATTTCTCCTTCAATTGTGTTATTATTTACTTGGACGATGTAATTTTTACTAAAATGGATGAAATAAATTTTTTTAAACAAAAAGTAAAACCATGAAGTCGGACGGGTCAAGATGAAATAGATAGAAATAAATAGATAGAAAGACGTATTATTACCGATCAGAAACGAAAATCTATTTAATGTATCTAATCTATTTATTTAACTTGACCCCGCCCGACGTCCAAATCATGAACCAGATTTTATTTTTTACTTTTTGGTTCTATTTTCGATTTTGAAGTGGGTTTAATGTTTGATATTTTTTTTTAATATCAGTATTAGGCAAATGCACAATGCTTTATTAGAAAATTACCTATTTTATTTTCGACATTCCAGGTGAATAAAGAATACAACGCCAACTTGTGGTTCTGGTACTTCCCGGTCTCAGACAAGTCCGTGGAGGAGACGCCGTGGATCCTGTGGCTCCAAGGAGGGCCGGGAGCTTCCTCCCTCTACGGCCTGTTCACGGAAATCGGACCTTTTGTCGTCACCAAAGATCACACTTTAGAAGGTACGTATCTCATTCTGTAACACTTTCATTATTTTGCTAATATATCATCGCACATGTAGCCAGCCTTTCTACAAATCTTTTTGAAGGATTATTCGTATTTTATTACAGAAATCAAATACTCCTGGGGCAAAAATCATTCGCTCCTCTTTATAGACAACCCTGTTGGCACCGGTTTTAGTTTCACTGATGACGACCGCGGATTTGCGACTAATCAGACCACGGTATGTTTACTTCTATATACTGGTTTATAAACGAAAGTTCTCGAATAAAACGAATGCTCTAAGTATTTTCTGGGACAGCACGAAAATGTACGGCCGGAAATCGAATTTCCAATTAAACTTCCAAATAAAAATAGATCAAAGAAAGATAAAAGAAAAAACATACTGTTTGTAACCTATATACCTGTATGGTATTTATCTCTTTCACACTTTCAAATTAATTATACTGTACTTGACATACCTATTTGTTTTCAGATCGGAGAAAACTTGTACACGGCGCTACAACAATTCCTGACAATGTTTCCCGAATTGCGGAAGGCTCCATTGGTAATAGCGGGGGAGTCGTACGCGGGCAAGCATATACCATCGCTGGGTGTGCAAATATTATGGCATCGGGAAGAGAACGACCCAATCAATCTGCAGGTAAAGTTTGAAGCCCAGACCTTACTGTGGCCACTATTCCAACGCAGAAAAATAGATTTGGAGACTCTTATCTGATCTATTGCTTCTTCTATGTCGCACTATCCGCAAATATAATGCTTTGCACGCTCACGTGTTTCCTCTCTCCTACAACCGGGGTCTTTTAAAGAGTCGTAAAGAAGCAACTTGCAGGCCTACAACACGGTAATAATATCATACAGTATTCTATCTTCATACAAACGGTCGGAAACCTACGCCACTGAGTTCGATGTGCTCTCGGCGGGCACCCAGTCGCGAATGCGCCGCCGCGCCGCAACGACGACCGAACGGTCTGAATTGTTTTTTATGCAGTTAGCGGTGCTTAAACATGCGTTTTGTATTGTAAATATTTGATTTAATTAAGTAGATACCTACATAATTTAGTATGGAAAAGAACAAACGACGATCAATATCGTACAACAGCACAATTGCTGTTTTTGGTTGCTTGAACTCTTCAACAACACACCCAGAGATATCATTTTTTAAATTACCTGAAATATTGGAAAGGTGTCTTACCTTTATAGAATATTTTTTATATACCTATCTACTAGTACGTTATTTGTTTCTAATATTTAGGTATTTCGGTTTTTCCATCGGGCAAAATATCTGGAATAATATATAAATAAGTGGTTAGGATGAAAAAAGAGACAAACGAGTAATCTACCTACACTCACGTTAAAAACAAAACTACATAAAATACTGTAGGCTGGCGGCCCTACCGCGTGCCAACGCAGCGCTCGGTCGTAGGCATTTATTTTCAAGGACAGGGCGGAGTCACAATACTGTATAGATAATATTACCGTGCCTACAAGTTGTGGATGTGGCAGGTAAAACTACTGCACCAGTTTTCTTTATGTCTGGATTCCATTATCACTTCAGTAAATATCATATCGTCATCAACATACACACTTTGGGGTTGGTAATCAAAGACTTTCGGGTACATCAAAGAATGGGCAGCAATATTATCTTTAGTTGCATGGAATGTTGTATAAAAATGCTTACTATAAGATCTCGATTTAACTTATACATGGAAAAAGATTAAGTCATGATGAAAGTATTATACAATGTCACAACGAGAGTATTTCGTCTTTATCATCAAAATGTCCCAATTGCTCGTACACAGAACTTCCCTAGGGCCTGTTTGCCAAGGATTGGAAACGCATTTGGGAAATGATAGTAATTTTTTTTTTCAACCATCCTACTAACCATCCATTGCAAATTTGCATAGCTCTTATAATCATTAAGTAAACGCTTTATAACCACTTCTTCTGCATCGCCTTCCTCAAAGTGTATATCTTTCGTTACCTAACAGAAATTCTTCTTTAAAACAAAATTCCTTTTTAGATTTGGTATAGCGTTACGTCACGTGAATAACCTTGCTTGTTATGACATGGAAACTTCTTTTTGTCGCCAGGGGTTGGCTATCGGCAACGGCTTCATCGACCCATTGAGCCTGCAGCGGTACAGCTACTTCGTTCGCGAGGCTGGCCTGGTGGACGACAAGGTGGCTGACTTCATGAACCACCTCGAAACGGCAGTCACGCAATTCATTAAGAACGGGGAAATGCTGAAAGCTTACGCGGTAAACATCACTGAATACCATACTCACCTACGTATTTGAATCTAAAGGCTGAGTTACACTTCGGTAAGTACAGCCGCGAGTTAACTTACGGTCTTGGCGAGTAAAGTTATTATCATGGATTGGATAGGGATTTGCCAGTTAAGTGCATACTGCTTTATTGTCCGATTTCTAGACTCGCTACTGTACTAGCATAAGTATAGATTAGCCTTTAGCGTATTAGGGGAATAAGTACACGTTTTGAATATCGAGCTTTGAGAATTCAAGACGGCCGTCACGCAATAGGCTAGTTTACTCATGTCGAATTGTATTAAATAAATGTTTATTTCTTAAAGTGTTTAGTCAAAGGAACCTTAATATATCGATTTCACTTCATAAAAGCAGAAGATTGCTGTAGAAATTTAATTTTAAAAAATATTTTTTAGTCTATATTTTTTAAACACTAAAAACGCTGTTCGCCACATTCGCCATGATTTTGACATCTCTTGTGGTAAACAACTAAATGTCATTCGCGTGTTACTGTAGGTGGATTCTTTCGTCTGACTAAATTTATCTTAAAACACTTTTAACTTTAGGAAAGAAAAAAACAGTAAACTTAGTTTTTTTTGATTAAACAAATTATGGATGCCGGCTTTGTGAAAGCAGAAAGCACAAATCTGCCAAGAATTGACGCATTGATGGTTGGTGAATTTGTTGCACTAAACCCCGATTTCTGCTCTGCAGAGCAGAGAAACGACAATGCATCTATGTAAGTACAGTGCATTTAGTATTACAATGTAGTAATAAACATAAAACTGATACAACATATGAATAAGTGTAATAAAGTTGCGTAGGTTAATTTCTTTCGGCACTTTAATCCACAACTTTCCTGGAGTCTTCAAGGATGTGTTTTTATATTCTCGTACAATACAGTAATGATAATTACTTTATTTTTCGTGGTATTTATTAGAAATCATGTTTTTTTTTATTCTATATAATATAAACTCAGTTAAAAGTAATTTTCTACGTGTTTACGAGTTTTTGTTTACCACAGTTCACGTCATAGCATAGACAATCTAAAGACTAAAATGGCCGACAGCGTTTTTGTATGTCCATGAAAAGTCTATTTTAAAATTAAAGATTTGTAGCTTTCTAGGTTTAAAAAAAATACAATACATTTTTTTTCGGTCTAATAGAACATTTATTAACCATTTAAAACCTTTTTCCAAAAAGGGTCAACTAGCCTATTATAAAGAACGGAGAATGTTGAAAGCTTACACGGTAAATATCATAAAATACTATCCTACGTTGTATTTGAATCATAGCAAAATAAGTGAATAAGTACTCGTCTAGAATATCGATAAATAAAAAATAAATATTTTAAATAATAAATAAATATTTATTATTTCCGTTACAGTATTACAACTACCTGCTGCAGATATTCTTACAAGAGTCGCATCTGTCTAACTTATACAACTTCCTGCAAGATGATATCAGCCTAGATGGCGCTTACATGGACTACATCCAGAGCAGCGAAGTTAGGCGCGCACTCCACGTGGGCAACACGAACTTCACGTCGATAGGGGTGGTGTACAGAAAACTGGTGCCAGACTTCATGGGCAGCGCTAAGATGTGGCTAGAGGAGCTGCTGGAGAACTACAGGGTTATGCTATACAAGTATGCAACCATTTACCAATTTTGCAAAAAATCTAACTCTTGAAAATCTTTGTCTCCTTATCAATAAAAAGCTAAAAATCGTTAGATACACGAATATTGTAATGTTTAATTTAGGCTAAATCAAGTTTCAACGTGTATTGGATATCAAAAGAAATAAAATATGCATTATATTTACAATTTGATTTAAGAACTTTGGTGCAGTATCAGACTCGTTAATAATTATCAAGCTACAACTAATCAGTTCATTAGACTGGAATAAGTTGGTATTGGTACTACCACCACATTTATGGGATGTCTCTCTCCCCCCTTGTCCCTTGTTTTAAATTCTTGTGTATGAACTCAACCGAATTTCATTGTTACAGCGGTCATCTGGATATAATAGTGGCTTACCATCCGTCTGTGAATACTTACAATTCATTAACATTTTCCGGGTCGTCAGAATTCGAGAAAGCAAAACGGCTACCCTGGTATCATGATGGTCAATTGGCAGGGTAAGTAATTATTTATACAGATAAATAAGAACAAAATATTTGACATAGTCAATATCAGTTACATTTTCTTATCTCAGTGCAAAGAGTAGTATAATAGACCCATTAGGATCTAGAATACGATGCATGAGACCGGAATCCATTGAAAAAGCATTAGAGTTTGTGCAGGAGGAGCTTAACACATTATACCTCCAACAACGCAGTGATAGCGGCCCTAGTAAGAATGAATGTCTCAGTGTCAGTCCACTCAGATACGAACCAATAAACAAAGTTTATTTCGCTGTCCGTCTGTCTTTCAGCGAGCTGTATCTCGGGCAACGTAATAGTTAAAGACAATCTGACATTGTATTTTTATTGACGCAATAATGACAAAAAAGTCGGGTAGGGTTCACCTTTCATAAGGATGGAATAAGGTGATTGAGCTCCATCTGCTCAAAGTGCCTTACGAAGCCTATAACCAACCATTGTGAAAGTTGCTTAACTCAAATGATCGCAGACCAACGTGATAACCATTTGCGCCATTGAGCTCTTCAAGACAAAGAACATGATAAAATTAAGATTTGACAACCTTCATACGCGAGTCTGACTCGCACTAACCTAGATTTTTCTACATCAATGCAAGATCAAACAAGGGACCTCAGAGATCGGTATCTCTGAGGTCCACACTCTGAATGAGCACACACTCAGACGACATTCATTACATATACATTCTGAATGAGCCAACCAGATTAGCAAATAACTAGCAAACCAGTGAACCAAATGTTCACCAAAAAAAAACAAAAAAAAATGTATTTAATTAATTGAGAACTTCGGAGATTTTGTGTGGTTTCGTTTGAAATAGAAATCACGTGATTTCTCGAAAACCGGAAGTGCTACATTACTCACATCCGGTTTGTAGTCTTATCATCTGATTCTTAACTTATAACTTAAACATTCTCTATATCTATCTCTTACGGTTTGGCCGCTGAAACAGCACCACGGACGGACTTGTCTAATAGATAAGAGATTATTTAAAAGATTACGAAAAGTCTCTGCACCACCATGGAATTTATTCTACGCTGATTAAATAACGCATGCTTTATTTTCGATTGTTCTCAGTCCAGCAGTAGGGGAATGAGTTAGAGAGTTTGTCCCAGGATAAGAGAGTAAATGGTGGAGTTAAATGTCTATCTACTACTCAGGTCAAAGTCAAACAAGCATATGGCCCGTCTGTTCGTAAATGGCACCATAACCTATAGACGCTTGCGATATCAAAAATATCACTCGCGCCGTTGCCCACCCTGATCCTATAATCTACCCTCTGGAGCCCCGGAACCTTACTCACTGACAGAAACACAGCACCACCAACAGTGCCGTCTTTTACCTATTGGAGGCCCCGGGCATATTAGGATAATAGGGCCCCTATGAACACCGTTTGGTGATCTAACAAGAACTAGGGACTTTGTATTTGTGATCTGAGGTGCCCACCTATCGATTACGGGGCCCTGGGCACTTGCCCAAAATGCCCACTGGGAAAGACGGGTCTGACCTATAAGGTGTAGCTTAATTTCCCAAACGGACGCTCCAATTCGAGCGGGATATCCGCTATTCCCATCCTCTCCTCCTCCTATAATACTAAACTAACAAAGGTGTTTTACTGATTACATGTAATTTATTACGCATCTCCTCATTTCAGCTACTACAAAACAGCCGGCAAACTCACCGAGGTGATGATACGTGGTGCCGGGCATATGGTGCCTGCGGACCGGCCGGCGGCTTCGCTCGGTCTCATATCGGCCTTCGCTCGGAACCTGTCACTAGGCAACGATACTGCCTCGTTAGTTGCGTCCGATAGGAGCGCGCTACGACATCGTCGAGTGACAATTAAATAAACTGCAGCAATGTTCCTTTAGCACCTTTACTTGTTACACCGCAGTGTTGGCGGCACCTTACGCTACAGGAGCCTCAGAAGCGTCTCTAGCCAGGGTGTAATCATTACCCTAGCGAAGCCCAGGTAGGCTCGCGTTCAAAATTAAATGATGGCATGTGATGCTCGGCTCCTCATTCATAAGTCTTATGACCGCAGTCCATGCATTTACAACATAAAAGTCCATTAAGGGTTTCTTAACATGTAATTAAATGAAGTTCATTTACAACTACCGCTAGTTGGTGGTTGTAACTGAACTTTAATCACCACCACGTCGTTGACCGTTGTCGTCGTTAAACCCACATCTACCATGTAGCTAACTAGAGGGTAACAATTAACTAAAAGTAAATTTTAACATTTTAGACCCTGTTTCGTTGATAAAACTGATCATGTAACAGCGTATCGAAACTTCATCTTTATATATATATAATTCTTCTGTGAGTGTGTATGTCACTGAACTTCTCTTAAACGACTGGACCGATTTTGATGAAATTTTTTTTGTGTGTTCAAGGGGATCTGATAATGGTTAAGATTCACAATTTTGTCCGCTGGACAATGTTTTTTTAATTTTTTTTTTTATGGCGGTACGAAGTTCGCTGGGTCAGCTAGTATACCTATAAAGTACTTTAAAATAACCTGTACCTAAATAATCTAAATCGATAAAAATGGGATTTCCGGTGTTGAAATTTACAATTAAGTTCAATCATTATACCTATACCTAGTTACGTGGTAAAGGGGCAGACAGAACCGTACACCAAGCACGCACAACTAGCGAGAAAGTATTCGTATCGCCAACAAAGTTTATATGGAAGGAGGTAGTTCGTTCTTATGACCGGTAAGGGCGCTGCTTAGTTTCAGTAGAAACTTTTAACGATGGCGATACGAATACTTTCTCGCTAGTCGTGCTTGGAGTACCGATAGCAGATATGTGCGCTGACGGTCAGCCCTTATAGAGCACTTCGTGTCGAGGCAAGTATTCTTGAGAATGTGATGCCCCAGCACGCTGCGATGCAATATGTTGAAACTACAAAAAATCGCAAATAATGCGTAATGCCATACTGTACCTTAGACTAAAATTAAAAATAAATAAGTACCTAATAAGAGAAAGTGTGTTCTTTTTTACACACATGTCCTTGTAATGCGTGTCGAATCTTTATGAGTAGCTATGAGTCAATCAGCCAATCAGATAAGTTAATAATTTACTGCAGTGCTATTCTGTAAAAACATATTCTATTTTCACCGCGGAATTCGACGATGAGATTTGAAATTTTAAACTCGTGTTCTAATTTTAAATCACCCCGCGGATTCCGAGGTGAAACCACATGCAACACTGTGCCCAAGGCTGGAGTTAAGGCAGGGCAGGCGGGTCCCCCTCCCCCCCACCAAAGTAAGGAGCTCGGGCAATTATCGCCTTGTGGCTCGAATGCTCGGTTTGTACTTACCTATACTATAAATTAATAATGTATGAAAAACTCATCTGCAGCTTGTGGTCGCGTTTAGTGACCGCGACAAGTCTCTCAATGTGCTGAGCGCGCTTAGGGGCGGGCCTCCACTCTTTCGTAGCCGCGAGACCTCGGGGCACCTCTAAATCCGTACCGCTAGTGAAGCTGTTGTAGTTGCTGCGCCTCACTGCAGTCACATGAGTGCTATTTTTTCGGGGACACCCCCGTATTTGTCTAGTCCGGTGCCTTGGTATCCTCGGTTGTTCGGTGGACTTTTGGTACACGGTACTATTAAACCCTCGCGTGCGTTACTCGATGCAGTTGTAAGCGATCTAACTTGGAGGACAAAAAAGTTCGCGGATAAAAGTCCCTCGTCTGAGCAGACCACTTCTGAACAAAATTAAAAATATTATAGGAACCAATAAGTAGGTATCCATAATTTTAAGACATTTCCTGTATAAAAGTTAACCCTTGTTGACTGCTAACGCTAAGCTAAGCTGGATTGAATGAGTAGCGAGATTGCAATTCCTTGATTGCAATCTCGCTACTCATTCTTATTGTATTTACTCTATCTATTCTTTGGTGGCAATTCTTTAATGACGAGCGATGTAAAGCCATTGTTAAACAGAATGCGACCAACGGGCACTTTTGAAGCTATCAAAAATGAGTTCTGTGGACTAATGTTATGTTAAAGTATGATTGTGAAAGCAGAAAACGACCAAACAAAATTTCGACAAATTTTCGCTTGCTGCAAAAATGCCCACTTTCTGTTTCACAACCATCGATCAACAATAATTATAGTGTTGTTGATCGAAGTTCACAACTCTCTATCTTCAGTAGAAGTTTCTACAAGTGGCATTTTTTAAACCAAGTTTGATTGTCGCTGGTTCGCACATGCTACGAAAAAGCAGTCATTATATTGTAATTTAATAACTGTATTGATAATTAAGTATTTCCCGATCTGATGAGATTTAAAATTTAATAACTGTATTGATAAATAAATATTTCCGGATCTGATGAGATATAATAAAGTTATACCTCTAAATCAGGGAATAAAAATGACTCTGAAAATTATAAACTCATATCAATATTACCGGTTCTTAGTAAAATATTTGAAAACAATATTCTAGAACAATTTATGCCTCATTTCAATCCAAATAAACTTTTGCATAGGAATCAATTTGGTTTTACCAGAGGTAGATCTACAGCTGATGCGGATGTTGTACTTGTAAGGAATATATTGGAGGCTTGGGAGTTCTGTGACTTATCCAATAGTTTTGATTGCGATGATCATCACACTCTGTCGTTGAAATTGAGTCATTATGGAGTCAAAGTCAAAGCCTATAAATTGATGCAGTCGTACCTCGGTTCCAAAATTCAAACTGTAGTAGTATGTATGTAGTAGAGGTGAATGGTTAGTTCATCTGGATCTCATGTGGGCGTTCTCCAGGCTTCAATTTTGGGTCCCTTCCTGTTTCTAGTATATATAAATGTTTTGCAATTTTTGTGGTTAATTTGTGTGAGATAGTATTATTTGTCAATGACACATCTTTATTACTTAACGTTGACAGGCGCAAAAACAATTATGACGATGTTAATAATGCTCTCTCACAATTCTGCAACGGTTTAATTTAAATAATCTAAAGCTAAATGCTTATAACTACTACATTCTTGGGTATAACGATAGACTCAAAACTGTAAAGGAATCATCATTTTACACTTTTGACTGGTAAACTTAGTTCAGCAGCTTATGCCATAAGCAAGATAAGACATCGTACTGATACAGATACTGCCAGACAGAACTGTATATTTTAGTTACTTTCATAGTATCTTATCATACGACATTAAAGTACTCTGGGGAACAGCAGCTGATATTGAAAGTATATTCATTCTACAAAAAGAGCTGTAAGATTTATTTATCAATCGAGTAGCCGAACATCACTTAGAGAATATTTCAAGAAATAAGGATTTTGTATTTGTTTCTTAGGTTTTCACGCACATCACTCATTAAATAAAACTAGTTTAAACGGGATAATGCACGAAACTTTATTTATTTATTGACGTTTCGTAGCCTTTACAGGCTTCGTCGTCAGAATAAAACTTTAAGTTTTATTCTGACGACAAAACTTTAAGTTTTACGAAGCCTGTAAAGGCTACGAAACTTCAATAAATAAATAAAGTTTCGTGCATTATCCCGTTTAAACTAGTTTTATTTAATAAGGATTTTGTCTTTTCAATCCATTTACAATTGCATACTTCTCGTTAAAAGTAATATTAATTTGTATACCAAACACAGTAACGTGCACAATTTTAACACAAGGAATAGAAACAAGCTTGGTTACAGATCTTTTCTGGGTAATGTATACATTTTATAATAAAATTCGTTATGTTATTCTTGAGTTACCCATAAATGAATTTAAAAGCCGCAATAAAAGTTGTTTACTTAAAAGAAAGGCTAAGTATCATACTATTAAAGAATATTTGAATGACAAAACGGCACGGTCTGCACTTTTGTTTTTGTAATTGTTTGCAGTGTCGTACAGATAAATGACCTTAATTCTAAGTGAACATTTTGCAGTTTGATTTGAGTGGTTATGGGTTTTTTTTCCTCCTAGGCGGGGGAGCGGGTGAGAAATCCTCATGGATACCCTGCTGCCGGCTGTAGGGTATCCATGAGTTATGTCAGACTCTTACTGACTAATAAACACCCATCGGGACTGCCACAGGCCAGGAAGGCCTTTAAGGCTTCATCGGATGCGATCGTCCCCTGAGAAGGGGACGATGCCCCCTGCATCGGGTTCTGGGTAGTCATGCTCTTTTAAAAATCTCTTCGGCGGTTTCGTGTGAAGCGGCTCAGTACAAGATCTCCCGCCGTAGATTTGCGAACCGATGGCGTAGCTTTTCAACATTCACAAGTGCTTGTAACACGTTTATACTGAATAAACGATATTAAATTATGATTTTTGTAGTCATTAAGGGATAGGTGTTTTTAAATGTTTTTTGATGTGTGTTCTTCTCGATTTCCTGCAATTTGTGAGAGTGATTTCGTGAAATGGGACGAAAGTGTGTAACAGGAAGTCGCGAAAGCGCGCGCTACTTTATTTGATTTTAGAACATAATGTTCAAATGACTTATTCCTTTTGTAGTAGGTTTTACATATTTCTTTTTTTACTAATATAAGATGAGGTTTCAAATGTTACACATCATACGCGACTACTGTAAGGCTCGCTCGTTTTTTATATTTAAAATACGTTTTTTTCTTAAATACAAATTTTCATCAGGCAGTATGGTGGTGTTACTTGATCTTAACCTGTTTTAAAAGGAACTAAACAAACTTAATTTTAGTCCATCCTTTAAAGCCCCTTTCCTTCTTGTTTGAAAAACATAAAAAAAGGTATTAAAAACTTTTACCCTAAATAAAAGAAAAACTATCATTTTAGGAGAAAAAAAAATTGTTTTACATGATAAAAATAGAGCGACACTATTTTTAACTACTTAAATTCTACTAAATTATATGCCCAATTTTATAGATATTAGCTTAGAGCATATACCAAGTTATTAGCGAAAAAGTAATCTATGCTAAGTACTCCTTAATCATGACACCTGCAACGTTGGATTAGTGCTGCAATATCATGCATCATAAAAAACAACCTATGATCATTTAGAGCAAATTCTCTAAAATTAGTTTATTCCTAATACCCGCCATACACACTACGATAAATCGTTACGATTAGACTGTACAGTCCGAACGGTAACGATAAATCGTAGCGTGTATGTTATAAAACTGCACAGTTTCCTATACTAAACGAAATCGTATAAACTGTACCGTTCGAACTGTACAGTCTGATCGTAGTGTGTATGGCGGGTATAATGGTAGCAATACCGCTTATTACTGTGTTAATTAGTACATGACAATAAAGTATAATATAACTATATGTTTATTTTGTCGAAAAATTGAATTTGAAATATTTTTATTTCTATTTAACCCATGGTGTAACAATGTATTGTTTTTTTTTATTACACTTTAGTAGAAGAAATATAATAAATAAAGTAACATATATATGTAAACCTAGGTAATTTATTTATTTCAGTCATGGCAACCCCGTTAATGGTGACGTTTCTCCGACTGAGTAAGCGAGGTTGAGCGTTGGAGTTTCGTAAAATTGTGAAAATATCCCGAATTTACCTTTAAGTTGTTACTGTCCGATTATGAGGAATCTAATCTTGCATGTGCACGATTTATGATAATCTCAGTTAGTGATTATTAAAAAGGGAATACAGGAACTTAACGTCATGTCTCTCGTGTATGCGGTTTGCGCATTAGTTCTATTGACGCCGATTACAGCATTTTATTTACCCGGCTTGGCTCCAGTAAATTATTGTAAAGCTGGAGAAGACAATGGGAAATCATGCAAGGTACGTTAAATGGCAAAATAACACAAATTCTAAACATAACTTGCCTACCCACCATGTTTTACGATGGTTGTGAAAAACTATTATTTGATAAGAACATCTATTTCGTGCTAATGTGCTCATTATTTTTCTATTAGCTGCCAGATTATGACTATTTTCTAACCGATGTAGCATAATGTTAGACAACAACAAATTCAAATTTCGCCTCTTCCCAAAAAAAAACTTCTTTATTTTGAATAAATAATCATCAGCATATGAAATCACAATTTTTTGTCAGAGTAAAATTTTCAATTCTTGATTGCTTCTAGAAATCATTTTATGTAGGTATAGCCAAAAAAATTAGTTTCTTTTTTTTCACATTTGACTTCAATAAAAATTTAAGCCAAGCAACCTTTTGAGGCAGTTATCTGATAATTACAATAATACTCTATAACAGACTGACATGAAATACAAAATTTATTACATGATCTTATTAACATTTCTTTCAGAATGAGATACCACTTTATGTAAACAGACTTAACACAGAGGAATCAGTCATACCATTTGAATATCACCATTTTGATTTCTGTCTCTCGGATGAGACACAATCACCAGTTGAAAATCTTGGACAAGTTGTATTTGGTGAACGAATCCGACCCAGTCGGTACAAGCTAGAATTCCTCAAAAATGTAGAATGCAATGTTGTTTGTAAAAAAGATTACAAAGCATCAAATGCAGAAGATGTGAAGAAGTTGAATTTATTGAAAATGGGAATGGCACTTTATTATCAACATCACTGGATCCTGGATAACATGCCAGTGACATGGTGCTACTTGGTAAATGAAGGTGGGAAGACATACTGCAGTACTGGCTTCCCAATGGGATGTCAAGTGCGAAGAGATATGGTAAGTTACTTTTTTACTATTAGTTAGTAAAGAGAAAGAAAATATTTATTTGCTAATTTATCCATCTTTCAGAATTCAATGATATCATTTTAACCTCATTTTAGTAGAAAAGAGGTGTGTAAAAAATGTATAAAAACTGTATTACAGAAAATATGTCAAAAACACATAATAATCATCCAATATTTTAAACCTGAACTGCCTTATTACAAAACATAGACAAGTTAAACCTGGACTAAAATTGATGCTGTCACTTTTGTTTTCTAAAAAGAAGCCAAAGACAACATTAGATTTAAACCAGAACTTTAATGATTTAGGCTTAATTAATTAATATATAATAATCAAATCATTTATGTTTTGTAATGTTATCAAATAACTTGATTATCTGTTCAACATTATAAGTACTTATCAGAACCCAGATAAAATTAATTAACAAGAAATATAAAAAACTATGAATGTAAGTCATAAATTTTTTATGTAACTGGAAATAATCATTCTGCCTATAGTTTTAGTACAAAATTTGAACTCAATACACAAACCGTTTAAATTTTGTATGATTAGTTACCACTAGTACCTATTTTGGTAAGATAAAGAGTTAGTGTGGGTGTGCTAAATATTGTGTACAATGATATTAAATACCCTAGATACACCACATGCGCTCAAAATGTGTCCCAATCAAGAAGTGCTTGAACACCACTCAAGCACTTCTTGGTTCACAGTCAAGGCCAGACCGTTGAAAGTCTTATCTATCTTGTATAAATATCCAAATATAATATAAATTTAATATATAATCTTAATGAACTACATGAAATTCTTGTATTGAACTCAGTATTTAACACTTAAATCAATATTTTATTTTATCAGGTCAATAGTGAAAGAAGTTTTATTTGACATTTTAATACAAATGCTTTTTCTTTAACAGGATACATGTACACCTATAGTTAATGTTTCACCTGACCAAGTTGGTTCTTACTACCTGTTCAACCATGTGGACTTGGAGATCACATACCACAGCGGCGGCGAGGAAGAATGGGGTGTGGGCTTTGGAGACAATGGCGGCCGCATCATTTCAGCCAAGGTAAACTTCTTATATAATACAATTTTAATACTCAAAATACAATGTTAGTACTCAAAAGAATAACAGAAAAAAAAGGAATTGTGAGAAATGATAGATATACTTAAGTAATCACTACATAGTATAAAGCAAAGTCGCTTCCCGCTGTCTGTCCCTATGTATGCTTTGATCTTTAAAACTACGCAACGGATTTTGATACGGTTTTTTAAATAGATAGAGTGACTCAAGAGGAATGTTTAGGTTTAGGAGGTAGAGAAACACTGATAATTTTAGAGGTTTTTAATGAAAGGTTGTAAAAAACACATTTTTTTGCGCTTACATTGCAAACGCTGGCTGAATCCTATGAGATAAATCAAAATTATGTTCTACAGTATTGTACACCTTAAAAAGGTCTACAAAAAAGTCCGCGATGGTATATGTCTATCTTTTAGGGATAACCCACAATAAACATTTTTATTCTTTACTTTTTACGAGAAATAATAGCTTATTTACGGATCGATTTTCTGCAATACAGCATTCATCCTTATGCAATAAAGTACCTTAAATACATTGTGCATTTAATATAAATCAATTTGGACCTTTACAGTGTGGAATTTAAATGAATATTTTCGAAGATATTGTAGATTTAAAATGCAGGAACATAGGGGTTCTGGCGGAAACGGGCGGGGGGCCGGGCGGCCGGCGCGTGCCTATTGTAGTTAGCTATTAGAAGAATTTCATTGTGTATTAAGGTACTTTATTGGATAAGATACAAGCCTGAAAAGTAGTCTACACTACAGCTTTACATTTAACCGAAGCAAGGACGGGAAACTAGTGTATAATATGATATTAAAAGATAAAAAGGAGTTCATGCTTGGAAGCAAGGTTAACAATATAAATATTAATCGCAGTGATGTTTGTCACTGGAAAATATGATAACTAATATGGAACTGAATGCTTACTGACACACTATCATTAGTGGAATAGGCATACAGTACTATCAACGAACTGCTGTATTGAAATTTTCATTAAATAAACTATTCAAAACTTACAAATATAGAACTTCAGACAAATGTATCATTTGTTTTCATTTAGTCACGGGGCAATACAATAATAAGTTACTGTTTAAGGAAATTGTAAAAAAACAATTTATGGGTGCTATTTCTGTTTTCTTGTCTAATTAGGTATGGCAATGAAATCCCCCTCTCAAATTATATTCAAATCAAATCAAATAAAATAATATTTGTCAGGCATTTCACTCTTAACATAGTTTTTTTAGCAGTAGTAGCAGTAGTCGAAGCTTTATTCCTTCTCTTTTCTTTAAATCGCTGTCAGCATTTATATTCTCCTGAAAAATAAATAATAAATTTCAGGTTGTAAAGTTAGCATAGCTTATAATATGCCCCACCATGAAGTTTAACTTAAAATTTACGTCATCTGAGGGTAACTTGTTAATTCGTCTAAAAAAAGAGAATTCATTTTATATAGAATAGATAAACTAATTGATTTTATTGTTTTTTTTTTTTCAGATCAAACCTGCCAGTATTGCCCATAAACTCAACAAACCTGACTGCAGTGCCCGACATGATCCACTTAAAATACCAATATCTTTCAGTGGAGAAGACACCTTAAGCATATACTACACATACAGTGTCACTTTTATTAAAAACAACACTATCAAATGGTCATCCCGCTGGGACTATATCTTGGAATCAATGCCACAGACTAACATTCAGTGGTTCTCAATATTGAACTCCTTGGTGATTGTTTTGTTCCTCAGTGGCATGGTAGCAATGATTCTCTTGAGAACACTGCATAAAGATATTGCAAGGTACAATCAGATGGAGTGCGGTGAAGATGCTCAGGTAAGAGTTATTATATGTTATACATTGTTCCTGGAAGCATAGTTTAATCTCAACAGTTTCGGATATCTATGAAGTTTTAAATTATGCACGAAGTTACATAATTCGAATTTTAAGTGATTGTATGTTTTAATTTTCTTTTAAGTCTCGAAATAAGTCTCAGTATTAAACCAAAATAAGCTTAAAAGTACCACCACAAGACATTTACAACCTTAATTCTTACGAATTAACTATTATCTTTAATTATTTACTGTTTTACTGGTTATTTATGACATGGGAGGCCTACCGCCTATCGGGACTGCTTTGGCTATTTCTATGGCTTATGATTTCGTTTTATTATTTCTGACCGCCGAAGGTTTTAAAATATCTCCCGCACATTTTCTTTAATATTGTTATTAGCAATGCAAAAAGAACCCAAGGTATTTGAAAACCTTTGGCAGTAAAATATACATAATAGTAGGGGAGCTCAAGCGGGGATTTTTGGATTTACTCCAGCGCGGCAGAATAACATATGGGGAGCAACCTTGCACGTATTTAAGTACTCCCACTATACCTCAGCCATCTATGTAGGGCAGCAAAAACAAAATTTCAACAAATGGCCATGACTTTGGTCGGGTCCAAATCGTCAGTCTTTTGAATAGGAGCTACTGGAGGGTTCACGTAACATCCCTTCTCAATGTCTGACGCGCTTGGTTAATTTTTTCCTATATTCTACCCCTTCGTACGGCCACCCCCATATCATGCAAACCGCGGCAGATCAATATTTTTCCGTTCTGAGAAACGTTACATGAACCCTCTAGTGGCTTATATTCAAAAGACTGACGATTTGGGCGCGATCAAAAGTCGTCATGACTTTTGGTCGGTCGTTCGTTGAAATTATGTTTTTGCTGCCCTAGACGTTCGGCCCCACATAGAGGGCTCAGGTATGATGGGATTACTTAAATAGGTGCAAGGTTGCTCACCATATGTTATTCTGCCGCGCTCGAGTAAATCCCTGCTTGGGCTCCCTACTTTAAGCTATAGTAATAACCAAAGTAATCCCGATAGGTGGTAGGCCCCCAGTCCTCAAAGCTGGCAATCAAAGATACTGCCTGCTCATTAGAGTACAGTACCCTTAGTACGAGTTTTACAATTACAAAAACTATGATAGTTTTCGTGAGCTCGCACTCGTACTAAGGGTACTGATTTTATTGTTTTCGTTTCAATACAAATAAACAGTGTTTATATTATATCATTAAATCATTTGCATCTTCTTAAATTTTAAGTATATTTGGTTACTTTTCACCAAAATGGACATAGAAACATAATTTACAATTACGAAAACTATGATAGTTTTCGTGAGCTCGCACTCATACTAAGGGTACTGATTTTATTGTTTTCGTTTCTATACAAATAAACAGTGTTTAAATTCTGTCATTAAATCATTTGCGTCTTAAATTTTAAGTATATTTGGTTACTTTTCACCAAAATGGACATAGAAACATACTCGTAATTTATAATTACGAAAACTATGATAGTTTTCGTGAGCTCGCACTCGTACTAAGGGTACTGATTTTATTGTTTTCGTTTCAATACAAATAAATAGTGTTTAAATTCTATCATTTGTGTCTTCTTAAATTTTAAGTATATTTGGTTACTTCTCACCAAATTGGACATAGAAACATAATTTACAATTACGAAAACATAGTTTTCGTGAGCTCAACTCGTATTAAGGGTACAGAAGTGCTGAAATAAGCTTCTATTAAATTTTTTAGGAAGAATTTGGCTGGAAATTGGTACATGGAGATGTGTTCAGGCCTCCGCGTCGCGGCATGTTGCTCGCTGTATTCCTCGGATCAGGATCACAGGTGAGTCTACATTTTTAGTTTTAATACCCCGTACCAGTTTTTTGTAAACTAGAATAATAATAATAGCAACAACATGGGGTGCTGACAAGGTCGAAAACTAACAAACGAACAAAATAAAAATCATTATTCCGACGACGCATTCCTGCAAAGGATGCGAGAAGTCAATAAATAAATAAAATCAGTGAATCTAACCCGTTGAAACTTGTTTAATGAATGATGTGCGTGAAAACCTAAGAAACAAATAAATCAAGTCAAATTAAAGTTTTTTCATTTTTCTATGGGATAGATCTAATTTTAATTGAATTGAGATCAAGTGGATCACTGCAAGTAGGCCCAAGACTTGACAATCGACACGTATTGTCAAATAAATAGCTGTAAGTGTTATATAATTATTTTCGATAACGTCCATCCTACTAGCTACTTTCTATTTTGTGTTGCCATGCTCTCACACTCTTTCTATTTGATATACATAAATTAAATGATACAGCTGCAATAATTTGTTTAACAAAGGTGTTGTTTAATTTATTTCACAGTACAGGTGTCAAGTAGCAAAGACATGCTGAATTATTTGTATGAACTGAAAACAATGGACCTTCAATTTATTCACATTATCAACATTTAGCCGTGGCGAATTCCTTGGATTCTATTTTTTATAGCTATATTCTTTTCCGTTACTTCGTTTTTTGAGGATCCCACAGAAATCACACATTTATTCCGGATTAAAAAGTATCATATCTCCCAATCTAGTTACTAAACAACATGCGTGCTAAATGTCATCCAAATCCTTTCAGCCGTTTTTGCGAGATTGAGTAACGATCATATCATATTTTCAATTATGATATTAAAGGTTGCTAATGTGAATCATATTGACGGTATTTTTCAACTTATCGTCTCTGTATAGGGAAAAAGATGAGGAGCTCGATCGCGGGTGGTAAGAGCGTTCGGCTGCGACCGTTGAAGTTAAGCAACTTTCGCAGTGGTCGGTCATTGGATGGGTGACCAAAAATCTTCTATCTCGAGTTCCTCCGTGCTTCGGAAGGCACGTTAAGCCGTTGGTCCCGGCTGCATCTGCAGTCGTTAGCACCCGCCTATCCGCACTGGGCCCGAGTGGTGGGTCATGACCCAATCTCCCTATTCTATCTATAGGGAAGGCCTGTGCCCCAGCAGTGGGGACATTAATAAGCTGATGATGATTATAGTCGGATCTTTTCAGTACAAGGTTTCCTCGTAGTGAGTAATAACAATCATAAATGCTTGTAAAAGCCTAAACTGTAACTCAAACATGAACATACTAACGAGAAAGTATTCGTGTCTCATCGTCAGTTTGTATGGGAACTAGGCAGCGCCCCTACCGGACTTAAGAACTAACTCCATTCATAGAAACTTTAACGATGGCGATACGAATACTTTATCGTTAGTTCGTCGTGCTTGGGGTACAGTTTTCTCAAATCATCAAGATGTGAATACGCGTAATGTACGATTCTCACTTACCGGCGCGCGTCGGAGCGCAGCGCAGCGCATTTTACAATTGCTGAAGGAAATTGAAACAACAACAAAGTAGTTAAGTTCCATATTTGCAAAACAACTATGGAGGTACAGGCTGCGCTCGAACTCTGCTACAGCCGCTCGGTACCGCGTGGAAATAAGGAACTTAACTACTTTGTGGATATATATATTTTTTTAAGCATGTAACTGCTCGATGTTGAAATCTAAAGAAAATATAGCTAGAAAAATTCCACGCGGACCAAGCAGCAGACAGGAGTCGAAAGAAAGAAAGGCTAGAATGAATTCAACATGGCCATCAGGATCGCGAAGGGTGCGGATTCGAGTCCCGTCTGCTGCCTGGTCCGCGTGGAATTTTTTCTAGCTATATTTTCTTTACATTGTGGATGTTTCAATTTCCTTCAGCAAATTGTAATATGCGCCGCGCTGATATCCGACGCACGCTGGTAAGTGAGAGTCGTACATTTCATAACACGGTGCAAGTGTACACAGCTCTCCAACTTTGCATCGCGTACGTAGCCTTTGCTTAGTTTAATCTTCTATCTTCTATATATATAAAAATCAATTGCTGTTCGTTAGTCTCGATAAAACTCGAGAACAGCTAAACGGATTTATCTTATCTTGGTCTTGAAATGTTCGTAGTCAAGGGAAGGTTTAAAAGGTGAGAAAATATGGAAGATATGCGAGAACAATTTATTTTTCCCATATAAACTGTTCTTCTTTCCTGTCAAACATTTGATGTTCGTCCCTTTTGGTACGCTAGACCCGGGTCCGTCATTTCTTCCAAATTATTTTAACGCGTACGAAGTACGCGCGGCAACTAGTCTTAAATGAAATTCAAGCCATTGCACGTTTTTATTGGTTAGGTATTCGGCATGACTCTGGTGACGCTCGCGTTCGCGTGCCTTGGTTTCCTGTCGCCTGCTAACCGCGGCGCCCTTATGACTTGCGCGCTGGTAGCGTGGGTTTTACTTGGCGCCGCAGCTGGATACGTTAGCGCCAGAATCTACAAGAGCTTCGGTGGACGACGGTGGAAGAGTAACATACTACTGACTTCAATGGTGTGCCCCGGGTGAGTGATGCGATGTTCAGCATTCTAGGGAATCTTCGAGAGCGTTTACTGCCATTTATTCAGAATCTTAGCGATTTTGTGGCTGTGACATACGGACCTAAAAAGACCACAGTCAACAGAGCCTAGGTCCGAATCTTAGATGTGTCGCCACGGCACTGCATTTGCAGTCGGTAACATAGCACTCCAATTTTCTATGGGTCCGCGGGGTGGTTCATTGCTCCATCTCCCCATTCCACCCATACCAAATGTCTACCAGTGAAGACATTGATAAGCTGCCTATGATGGATGAATTTTACAACGTCATAGCCTTTTGTAAATCTCAATACTAAACGTTCAATCAACGATTTATAAAGAAAACGATTCCTGTTGAACTAAAATTGCAGAGCCATGCAACTGAAAAAGTTGTAGATAAATAAATGGTTTTAAAACTGTCGCAAATGTGGGCGCATGTGCAAAATTTGATACTTTCTAGGGCTCCACACAAATATCGCACTGCAATTAATTGCAAGTGTACTCTAGCTCTAATGCTGCTAATTTGAATGTCTTTTTTTTAACATTCTCCCTTTTCAGGGAAGACAAGGGGAACAATGCCCATACAGCCTAGTCTTAAATTTTATTAATCTTCTTTTTTTACATTAGAATGTCGGTGTAACTCATTCTAATGTTTCTTGGAGTGTTTGGCACGAAATGTATCGAGTCAGCTTTTTCGATAAGCTTCTCTGAGGTAGTCAACACTACAATAAAGTTCTCACTTCCACTTACCGGAATAGCGTTTATTTTAGAGATTCCACAAATTCTTCATTTGCGCAGACGGTTGTAACACAAAATCACACCAATTTTATTTCACAATATACACTATGAACGAATTCAAGAATAATTAAAATAAGACGCCAACCGCTCTAGATAAAAACGCGCTAAAAACTCTTGAATGTCTCTTATTTGACGACCTCCGTGGCCGAGTAGTTTATCCGCCGGGTTTCATGGTGACCCGACTCGAGAGGTCCCTGGTTCGAATCCCGGTAGGGGCAGATGTTTGTGTGATGAATACGAGCATTTGTACTCCAGTCATGGATGTTTAATATTTCTATATAAATATGCTTAAATATGTCCAGTATATGTATTCTATCCGTTACCCTAGTACATATCCCATAACACAATCCTTTCACTGCTTACTTTGGGGCTAGGATAATTGGTGTGTGTTGGAAATATTTATTTATTATTTTCCTGTGTTTCTAGTGTGGTGTTCTCCCTGTTCTTCGTGATGAACCTGGTGTTGTGGGGCAAGGGTTCCTCGGCCGCAGTGCCGTTCTCTACGTTGGTGGCATTGTTGGCGCTCTGGTTCGGAGTCTCTGTACCATTGACTTTCATCGGCGCGTACTTCGGCTTTAGGAAGAGGGTGAGTTGGAATAGTGCTTATTATTGTAGGTCGCAAATGTTTTTGTGGGGAATACGAACATTTGTACTCCAGTCATGGATGTTTAATATGTATTTCTATATAAATATACTTATATATGTATTCTATGTATATGTATATATTGATATATAAAACATGAAATAGTAACGTAAGGAAGTCTTTATTCGTGATCGCCAGGATAAGGTTTGTATGAGTGCTTACTTTGGGAATATGCTAATTGGTGTGAGTGTCAGAAATATTTATTATTATTTATAATGAACTCGTTCCATTCTAGATTCTCGACCACCCCGTGCGAACGAACCAGATACCGCGCCAGATACCCGAACAGTCGTTGTACACGCAGCCGATTCCGGGAATAGTGATGGGTGGAGTACTGCCCTTCGGATGCATCTTCATACAGTTGTTCTTCATACTCAACTCGCTGTGGTCCAGCCAGGTAATCATCGTCACTTTATTAATATCTCTACTCCTAGGGCATATTTGTGTCCCCAATGCTGAGGCACAGGTCGTCTCTATAGATGGAATAGGGAGATTGGGCCATGACCCACCACGTAGGCCCAGTGCGGATTGGTGGGTGCTAACGACTGTAGATGCAGCCGGGACCAACGGCTTAATCTCACTTTATTAATATCTCTACTCCTAGGGCATATTTGTGTCCCAACTGCTGAGGGATAGGTCTTCTCTATAGTTGGAATAGGGAGATTGGGCCATGACCCACCACGTGGGCCCATTGCGGATTGGTGGGTGATAACGAATGCAGACGCAGCCGGGACTAACGGCTTAAAGTGCCTTCCGAAGCACGGAGGAGCGCGAGATAGTAATTTTTGTTCACCCATCCAGTGAGCGACCACAGCGAAAGTTGTTTAACTTAAACGATCGCAGCCGAAAACGCTAACCACTTGCGCCATCCAGCTCGCCCTGGGGTATAGGCAGCGGTTATGAGTTACGTGTCAATGAATGCCAGTGCTTTTTCACTGGCATTCATTGACACGTAACTCATATTCGCCATATTTAATCTGGTGTACTCCCAAATATTCACAACATTATTTTAATAAGAAAAAACCCGCGTAGTCAACCCACAAGCAATAACATTTAAGCAAGATATTTCGGAGACCTCACGCTACACAAGCGCCTCTAGCGGCGAATTTATACGCGATAGCCCTCATTGGAGCGCCCGTCTGTAGAAGTAACCTCCGCCTTATAGGAGACCACAGTAAAATAGCACTTTAGCACTTATCGGGTTTTGGTAACATTGTGTTTCTGTCAGTGAGCAAGGTTCGAGGGCTCGACGGGGTACGGGATTGGGTCAATGGTGCGAGTGAAGTTTTTTGTATCGCAATTGTCTATATTCTATAGGCTATGGTAGTCGCTTAACACCAGGCGACCCATATGCTTGTATGCCACGCTTTTAACATAAAGAAACAGACAAACTTTCAGAGTAAATGTTTCTGTATGTAAAACTGCTACTGTGCAGGCTACGTTGCCCATGGTTTTGTTAAACGGTTTACGTATACAGACTTTTAAAGATAAAATAGGGAGATTGGGCCATGAATGACCCACCATACCCGCCGAGTGAATTAAATATTGGTGGGTGCTACTGACTGTAGATGCAGCCGGGACCAACGGCTTAATGTGCCTTCCGAGCTCCAAATCGTATTTTAATGTTTTCTTATTTATACATAAGCGACCGATAGCAAGTTCCTTAACTTCCACGATCAAGAAGAACGCGCTAAGCTCTTGCGCCATATAACTTCTTAATTTTCGATAAAGCCATTTATTACATTGAAAGTCGTAAGACTTTTTACCAAGTACCTATATAATGCATTTTTTTGAATTATCTTATCAATATTTATGAGTACATAGCTACACGCCATATACATCTTGCGGGGCTCTCAAAACATCTCAATTCGCGACTACGAGCTGAATATATTCATACTTTGGTATTATATTTCAGTCTGATTATTAGTGTAACATACCTTGATGACTTCATTAGTCTAGCATCGTTTCTGAACGACCATCTGATGCAATGATACAACTATCTTGAACTCGGTCAAACATGGAATATTCGACAGCGTCTCTATTGCCAAGCAACAAAAGCCACATTTGTAGTGCTGTCATCGCCAAATCCTTACTTTATAATATAACTCTTTTTCAGATGTACTACATGTTTGGTTTCCTGTTCCTCGTGTTTGTGATCCTGGTGATCACTTGCTCGGAGACGACTATTCTGCTCTGCTACTTCCATCTATGTGCCGAAGATTATCATTGGTGGTGGCGAGCTTTCCTAAGCGCTGGATCAACAGCCGGATACTTATTTATCTACTGCTGCCACTACTTCGTCACCAAACTCAACATAGAAGACGCTGCTTCAACCTTCCTCTACTTCGGATACACCCTCATAATGGTGTTCCTATTCTTCCTTCTCACCGGAACCATCGGATTCATGGCCTGCTTCTGGTTCGTCAGGAAGATCTACAGTGTCGTCAAAGTGGATTAGTGATTAGTGCAGTGTCAATGCAGTGGTGTGTTAAGTTTTGCTTGATCATTTCGTTGTGATTCGCGGCATGATCGAATGGAACTTTGTCGGTGTGGTGTACGGCCCACGGAGACGGGTGAGACAGAGAAGTGAGTTTTTAATTGTATCATAATTAATTATTTATATCCAAAAATGATTTGTTAGTCACTATTTTCAGTTCTATCGACGTTTGCTTTTCGTATTCTCTTCATTATTTCGTTTTTATTAGTCGTTAGTTGTAAATAAGTTTTTAAGGATGATTGGGCATCAGTTAGGGTGTTAAAGATGATTGGTATACCATTGATATAACCTGGAATGTTAATGACAATCTTCAACAATAGTACTTAAAACGTCTAATGTGAAATCTCTTGTCAAATTTGAATACTATGAGTGTTTCTATGTATTTGTATAAATAAATGGCCCTATGTTTTAGATATGTGGATAAATGTATTCTGCTATCAAAGCATGGTATTCTCTTTAACTCTGAAGAAAAAGACTCAAGGTATGCCTATTGATAAAGTTTCATATTAACAGCACCTGTATCAAGTAGCAATAAGAGTCATTTTCATTACTGCAATTGTGTAAACTGTCTTGTGAACTCAACTGTAGACCAAACAAAAACATTGAACTCTGTACATGATACCCAATAAATACTAAACACAAAATTGATACGACATTGTACATTTTAACAGCAAATTAGCACTAATCAATCTTTCTAGCAATCATGACTTCAAACGGATAACTGTTATTATTAATTAAGTAGTGTATCTTAGTTTGTATCAGTTATAAAAAATGTTAATACATTTCGGAAATACATTTTATTTGTATACAATATTTTTCTTTGATTGCAATTCATTAAAGACAAAATAAAGAGTTTTTAATTGCACAAACATCTATTTTCTTTGTGATTTATCTAAATATAAGAACATATCCTGAGTTGTATGCAATGCATATCCGAATGTGATATTACACAATGCAAGTAGAGAAATATAATCGAAGAGGAGAGACATTCACAATCTATCTATGAAATCTAACAGTAATGAGGTTGGAAGAAGGATTTCTCTATGATCTGTCTATGGTAATAAGACTAAAAATTACTAAGTGTTGCCATCTGTCCCGTGTATGGATATGTATGACTTTGTCGTGTAGCAGAATAACTGTTACGCTGCTCGCCTACAGCGCGAGGAAGAAATAGAGGTTAATGTCCTGTTATTAGGGACAAAGTGCAGCCACTTTGTTCCTAAAAACAATTAATTAGGCTGCTAATTCGACTCCACGAAGCAGCCCTACTAGAGATCGCATACATGGGCACCCGCTTGTGCCAATCTCATGTATACTGCATAAACATGTGCCATGACCCAAAACGGCGTCAAGCTTGCAACTAATTACGCCCCCGATTTTGTAAACGTCAATTTTGTATGACATTTACGGTCATTTACGTAGACAGTGGCGCCCTCCCTAAACTATCTCTAACATTCATAAAGATCTGTGTCGCACTGTAAACGAGCGTTCAAACACAATCCACCAATAAGGTCTGGACGCGACCGCAGACTGCATCTGTTTGCGTGTGAGATCCTTAATGCGGTCACTAGTGGGGTTGTCTTGTGGTCAGCGAAATCCTAGCTTTCTGTATTTCAGAACAAGACATTATTATGCAATGATATTGCGTAAGGAAGCTGTCACACTGCTTAAACTTGACCTCGGTCTGTCCTTTTCATTCCTTACAGGGCATGATAAGGACAGACTATTGTCAAGTTTACGAATAACAAATACGAAATGCCAAGTGAAGTGGCGGCATGACAAACCGAACACATCTACTGTACGAATATCGATGAGTATTGTGAATTAATATATAGCTCATCAAACTTAAGGCGAAACTGAGAGATTCGCTATAACCAGGTAGCCGCCAGTTCATATCACGACAATGTGCTCTTTTGAAGTTAACTTCAATGGAAATATGTAGATCCAAACCCCGATAAGATTATCTTTAGCGTTTATTTACTATGTATTAAGATAGTAATATTTTATAATGCTCTTATTTGATAAAATAATATACAGTTCTTAGTTTAGTTTTTTCCCTATTTACTAATCAGTAGGCTTTCTTATATTTATTTAGATAGTTAATTTGTTGAATAGCTGATGGTTTTTAAGCTTTATTTCAAATAAACCGTCTTTAAGAGCTATATTTGCCTTTACTGAAATTAAATATTGAAAATATGCACGATTCATTTCATAAATAATTCTTGTCACCAACAGGTGTTGACACCCTTAGACTATAGATGCCTATACAAACAAAATATTTAAAAACGTAAAAAATACTTTCACCTTTTATCATTTATACATATCAAATTATGCAAGATCATACTAAACAAGTATGAACATCAGGGAAAAAGAATATTGACGATGTCTTCAATTTAATTTAAACCTTAATACTGAACTTGAGGAGATTCGAAATTTTGGTCTTTGTCACCTGATGTAAGTACTTACAGTTGTTTGCACTATGATTATTAGTTTAATTCTTTTCATTTTAAATATTATGTTGTGTGCTATAAAATTTATTTTCATCAATCACTGTGCTATTTGAGTTCATACTAATTTAGTGAGATGTAAACAATAAATTACTTTTAATAATAACCTTTTTTTATTTTTTTAACAACAAAATAAATAAAAAACAACAATTTTAATCACAATCACTGCTCTCTGACAATTCAGCTTTTTCCTTAGGTATAATTGCTTTCCTTTTTGTAGCCCTTTTCTTCCGATCGATTTTTGTTTTTCTAAACACTTCTATAGCTTTCATTTTGTTTTGCAGAAGGCATTGTTTATCCTTTTCTCGTTGCGGTATTATCTCTTGGAATCTTTGTGTTTTAGGAATGACTATATCCGATCCTGTCGTGCTATCCATTATAGAGGACACAACTGTTACATTGGGCAAATGAATTTCATCACTGATCTTCGAAGGCCCAGGAAGCACTACTGATTTGTTTGTAGATTTTGTGACTCTTTTTAAACCTACTTTCTTTTTCTTAGAAGGTATTGGTTCCTCATTATCTATGGGAACTAGTTCACTTGAATCTTTTTCTGGTCCCATCTTATGGACAGCTGCCTTCACTCTTTTACTCATTTGCTCTTCTAGGGATTGAAATTCCACTTTTCTTTTGAAATAATCATGTACAGTTTTTTGACTTCTCCTCTCTTGTAACCTCTTCAGGACGGGATTTATGATTTCGTCCAACTTGTTTTGGGACCAACCAAACTTTGCTTTGGTATAATCGCGTAATATTGTTATATCAAGTTCACCCCAAGTGAACTTTTCTTCACTTTTCTCAACATTAGGTTCCATGTAGGCCTGGACTACCTGAAATGTTATAATTAATTATTTCACATTGAAAAGCACATTCGAGTAGAAGGTATTAGGAAACCGTAACTTTTTATTATAAACCAGTGTAGTGGCTGTCCTCTTTCTTCTTCTGCGTGGTTTAATTAATTTCCTATACAAACCTCAACCCCCTTTTTCACCTCCTTAAAGAATGATTTCTAGGATAAAAACTATCCTATGTCCTTCCCCAGTTTCAAACTATATCTATACCGAATTTCATCTCAATCGGTTCAGCGGTTTAAGCGTATTATCTACAGAGGTAACAGACAGACACATTTACGCATTTATAATATTACTAGCGGCCGCCCGCGACTTCGTTCGCGTTCACTATAGTTTTTTGAGAATCCTACAGGAACCTAACGTTTTTAAGGGATAAAAGTAACCTGTCCTAATCACGGTACATAAATTGTATGCGTATCAAATTTCATCTAAATCGGGCCAGTAGTTTTTACGTGATTATAACAAACATACAAACTTTTACTTTTATAATATTAGTAGGATAGGATCTTAATAATATTTTCCTTACCTATGGGTTTAATCTCGATTCATTTTACGTTGGATTAAATAGATTTTGTTCAAAATAATTGTGAAATGCAGTAGGTTGAACAGTTATTACATGAGGCTTGCAACAGAACTATTTAACTTACTCACCCTGACACTGGGAAAGTCTTCAGTCAAAGAAACATTTCGCAATTTCTTTTTCAGATTTGTATTATCTGTACGTTTTCCGGCTTTGACCCATTTCTTGAATTCTTGTAATCCAGTGATTACTTGCTGGTAACGCCCTTGTTTGGATGTTTCATTTAGAAACTGTTTCTTATTGAAAGGAAATGAAGCTAGAATCTCCATAGCAGTTACCGGTCCAATCCCATCCACTCCAGTTGTGTAATCACTTCCAACTAGCAATGCTAATAGAACTAGTTGTTCTCTAGTTAAATCTGTTTAAACAAAAAAACATTATGAAGAGCAGGGAATGAATGAGTGATCCTTAGCTATCGAAAGAGTAAGTCTATCTAAAGGCTATGGTGGCAGCGTACCATCAGGCAAAATAGCCTACATTATAGCTCACAGATACAGAATTACAAAAGAAAATTACTCACTAAATGATTTTTCGATTCTTTCAGATAGGAATTGCAGGACATGTTTCCGTTGGTTAAAGAAATTTTTGTAAACTGTCTTGCCTCCAAAGAGCCAGATATCGCTGTCATCTGTAATTGTTCCATCAGTTAAATTAACAGATTCTAGAAATGCGCACTGGGCCTCTGCCTCCATGGGTGCCACTATATAAGGTATTCCAAATATTTGTAATAATTCTTGGGCGTCTTTTGTCATTTCCTCAGTAATATTCCGGCCAATTCGATCCAAACGCCCCTTTTCTTGAATTAATTCTTGTTCTTCGTGAGCTACTATTTCTGCCATTTCATTTAACTTTTCTACTGATATAATATTTTTCCCCGGCTCCTCAATACTATTAACTTTAGTTTTGATAACATCATTATTGGCAACCGGCTCTTCAATATTACTAATTTTAGATTTGATAACATTATTTTGGTCAGTAATGGGGTCTTCGATATTTTTTTTAGTAACTCCAATATGTAATGACCTAATTTCAATACTATCATTTTTTCCGATTTCACATTTTAAAGAATCTATTTTTGACGTAGAAGGTCGCATTAGATGTAGTTTATCTTCCTCTTTATCTATTTTGTTATCATCTGCAGAATCGGTATATCCAATAGCGTCTTTTGATCCAGTTTTACTTATATTATCACCGTCATTACAAACTTGTTCGCTTGATTTAGGTTTACATGTGATAATTTCAGATATACTTGTATCATCCGCTTTCATAAAAACATCGGCAAATATGTCATCTTCTTCTTCACATGGCTCGTTCATATTTAACGTTAGTTGTACAATACTTTTTTGGGATTCATTTTGTACATCAGGTACATCCACAAAATCATCATCACTTGATTCAGATTCTGATTTGATTTCTTCATTAAGTTGGTTTTCTTTATGATTTTCTAGTTCAAGGGCTTTTTGGTTAATTACATCTTGATTTAAAGATACTTTGTCGCATAATTGTTGACTGTTGCAACCATTTAAATCCTTTAAATTAGTACAAACAATATTTTCTTCACAACTATTTTCCATGCTGGAATCCAGTAATAAAACATCCTGTGCTGAATTTTCAACAAATATTACAGAAGATTGAGTTGCGCTTGTATCAAGAACTTCATTTGCATTAATGAATTCTAGTCTTGAATCATTTATAGTATCAATTTCTAAAACATTGTGTTCTTTTATTTTAGATTCATCATCGGATGATAACTCAATTTTATCCATTATGATAGATTTTTCTTTACGCAATTCGTCTAATATTTCATCTAATTTAGATTGTACAGTTTTAGGTTTAACAGTATTCTTAGTAGAAACAATTGTATCTATTGCTTTATGTGTGAAATCACTGTATTGCATAATATATGCTTTAGCAGAAGATATATCTGAATACTGAAATCCATGCTCGTCTTCTGAATCAGTTCCTTCCGTATAATCTGAATCTGTCATTACAGATGTCCATGAATCATCAGTCTTGGAAGTATAATTGCTTTTATCATGGTCGTCAACACATTCCAATGACATTTTTATTGCTTTCTCCAAATCATCTTCTAATTCAGTATTTTTTTGTTTATTTTCACTTTTTTCTTCTGTGTTCTCACTAATACTGGGATTATTATCAACTTCTTTCTTTTTAGCATTTTCTAAAGCTTGTTTCACATCACTGATAAGTAAAAACCTTGTTGTTTTATCGGAAGCAATGCGCCGAGTAGGTAAACTCTCAATTTTTGTATCAATTCCTTCTTCATTAAGCAATGATTCCAATTCAACTATAGACATTCCTCCATCTCCCATTTCTTTTTCAGTTTCTTCCAAACATTCTTGGACCTTCCTTCTTTTAAGCAATCTCTGCAACTTTTATCAAAAGAAAAGATTGATGTGATATTTCTCAGAAGAGTAAAACTTTGTGTATTTTATTAATACTTACTTGAAAATCGGAAAAGTTATCGCTCTTCTTTGGCAACTCATGGATTCTTCCCCATGAATTCATTTTTCTCGTTTCTTTCAACTCTATCAATAAATCGTATTTTTCTTTAACAGGTAGGTTTTTAAATTTGTCAGATTCAATATCAACAGAATGCAAATCGACAATCGAACCACTGGAAGTGTCTTCATCATCTGACCTACAAGTTATAGTTTTTCTTAAAATATTGTTTTGATAATACAATTTTAAAAGCAATATGCATAATAGCAATCCTCAGTAACAATCGGTGGGTAGAGGTGAACTGAGTAGAACAAAGTGCCATATAGAACGTGGAAAGTAACATGTAGGTTAAAAGTTATGAATGAACTGATAAATGATATGAACACAAGATGTCTGGACGCGTTTGTGAGCCTGAGACTAAGTGGAAGGGGAGCGTTACTGAAAAGTTTTCAACAAGACAATCATACCAGCACAGCTATAGGTATTTTCCTGTCCTCTCGCTTCACGTCTGGGGTAAAAATACTGGTTTAGTATAAATTGAGATTCACTTGTTTTATTTTTTATTACAGCTTACGCTCAAGTAATTTCAAAGAGAGCCCAAAAACTTCAAGCTTTAGGAATCTGAAGGATATTCTGACTTTGGTTAAAAAGACTGAAAATATGTTTTAGGTTTCTGTACCCAAAGGGTAAACACCGCTGTCCGTCTGTCACCAGGCTGTATCTCATGAACATGATTGCTAGACAGTAGAAAATTTCACAGATGGTATATTTCTGTTGCCGCTATAACAACAAATACTAAAAATATAATAAAATAAATATTTAAGGGGGCTCCAACTAGGGTTGCCAGGCCATAAAATGCAAAGGCCGGACTGCGCACTATATAAGGCCTGACATTTTGCCCTAAAAGCCGGACATATTTTTTTTATTGCCAAACAATGTTTTTACAGCAGGGCTGTGGAAAAAAGTATTTATACGTGATGTAAAGTGACAATGAGATCGAAGATCGAAGCGCCAACAGTTTGCTCTCTTGTCCGCTCGGACGCTATTCCACCCATCGTCGTACGAACCGCCACTCTGACAAAAGCCGGACAGGCCAAACACGTACATATTTGGCTTGATGCGACCGCAAAAAGCCAAACATGTCCGGCTGACACCTGGCAAGCCTAGCTCCAACAGACGTCATTTTTAGCCGTTTTATGCTCGATATTACAATATTTTGTCTTATTTCGTATAGATAATTGTACGGAACCCTCGCGAATCCGATTCGCACTTCGGCGGTTATATATAGTACTGAGGGAACACCGTGGAGCGGACTGGCAAGCCTAGCTCCAACAGACGTCATTTTTAGCCGTTTTATGCTCGATATTACAATATTTTGTCTTATTTCGTATAGATAATTGTACGGAACCCTCGCGAATCCGATTCGCACTTCGGCGGTTATATATAGTACTGAGGGAACACCGTGGAGCGGAGCTCATTCCATAATTTTATTGTACGTGAAATAAAAGATCTCTGGAAACGAACAGTTGTGAACTTCAGTGTTTCCAGGTAATATGGATGAACTTGACTCCGGTGACGGGTGGTGCGGTGGTAAAATGGTGCTATGGGTATTAACTGGAACAATTCCTCGGAGCAATCACCATGAAAGAGTCTGTCGAATACGCATAGGCAACCACAGTCCCTGCGCAGTTCCAAAGGCTCCAGATTTCCCGCTAGCTTGAGATCATCGACAATCCCTATCGCGCATCTTTGTATAGAATTGAGGGGATCCAACTGGTATTTGGGAGCTCCAGCCCAGGGATGTAAGCAGTATTAGATGTGGGGCCTAATATGCACTTTAATGATATTAATAATGTTCAGTTCTTGCCCAATATTAAGAGGATAAGTTAAAATTGATTCACTAATTTTGGTTGGGTATCGTCGTTTAGTGATTGCTCGGCCATACTCCTTATTACGCGCGTGCTCGAGATCAACGTTTTTTCTCGTCGTGTCTTAAATACCAACATTTAGTGAAAATAAGTTTGTACAATTTATAGCCATGCTATAGACCTTTGATTGGAGTGAAAGTTCTTGCTGCAAGATCCTGCTGCCCTAAAGCACCGCAACGCCGTGCGTTGGTCTCTAGAGTTAGTGACGTTCACTTGCGAAGGTACATGGTCAAGGTTAGTGGATTTTATGATAACGTTTTGATTTGGCAAGAACTGTGAATATACTACTTTCATCATATAAATACCTCACTCCCTCATACAGTCCACACACACACATTAAAATATTTTAAAACTTTTTTGCGAGCGGTTGTTAAAATTGTGTAAAAACCGCACAAATAATGAATAGCACTGTTCCAAACCCGTTTAAAAATGGTGTTTATGAACAAGATGCTTTCTGGGTACCGAAGGTTCCGACGGACTGGAAACGCGCAATCATCGTCCTTTTAATAAATGCAAGCGTTCGCGCATGGACTACAGAGCCAATATTTTAATCAGCTTAGCAGTCAAACTGCATGGAAAAGTGGTTGAAAAAAAATTTTGGGTCAAATCCGTTGGAAGACTGTGAGAGGCATAAGGGGGATCACGAAATGGAGGGAGACGCGCGGATGTGGTTTTCTCGATCCGCAATATCTGTATACGGGACTCATAAAAATATCAGGGACTGGGACAACCTGGGACTGGAGTGTTTTCAGCAGTTATGTACATCTTGATTATTTGCTAATAGTATACTCTTATATTGCTGAGATATACAAGGTGACAGGAAAACTCCACCTATTCCCTGAAAGGGGTTATACTATTAGCAACAAATTAAGTCCAGTGAACTGGGGGTCAAAACTGGATGGTTAACGAGTTAGGCTGTTCTTCGATTTTTAGAATTTTTCTGACTTGCTGCCAAAAACCATAATTGTGAATAAACTACTCCACTCTAAACATTGACTTGATACTGTTCTGAAAGCTATACAGTCGCACTACGACGCACTATTCAGTCTATTTGTGAACATTCTACAGCGTGCAAGTGTACGACAGCTTGTCGCTCAGGTTTGGTGGTAATAGGAAAAAATATTGTATGAATAAGGCCAACAATTGAATAATTCTCCATATATATCGACGACTGTCGTCGACTCCTGAGATTATGGTTGATGGATGTGCGCTTGGAAATGTGTGATTTAATTGTTAGCTGTCTGCTTTATGTAGATGATGCTGTGGTAGATGCAGTGATATACATATTTGATTTGCAAATACATTGGTTGTGGTCATGAAATATGACTAACAAGGCAATGCTTGTCTCAACGGCTGATGGCCAGAGCTGAGACCATCTTGAACACGCAAAACAAGCACGTAGTGTCGAGTTGCGAAAAAATAATGCAAACAGGCGCCATAAGGGCGGCTAGTTGCCGAAACATATAAGGAAAACCGCCATTAAGAAAGAAAGACTCTAATTTGACCGTCGTAAAGCCTGCCCTTCTGATGCTCCGCGATAGGCGGGGCGGCGAGTCGCGGGTACACACGGTATACCGGCGCGGCGATATATCTCATAATATTTTAATCTTCGTGTTGTTTTTTCAAAAGTGTTAGTGTTTGTAATAGAACAAATGAATCAATGTAATAATTTTATACACATAAAAATATACTTTGACTTGTGACTACAATGTTAAACCTAGTCTTACCATAAATATTATTATGAGGAAAAATATATTAAAAAATAAAATAATATATTTATTTGATCCGCTACATTTAATAGCATAATCTTTGCTTTATATATTACATAGACTCGGTAATTCCATGTTTGTTGTATGCAAAGCCATCAATTTTGATGAGAAACTTGCAGTTTGACCATATGTGGTAGTGAGAAATAGAATCAGTCAGAAAAACTGTGTCAATGTTAAAATTAACAGAGGCATGCTCTATTGGTCTGTATGTGTCAGGAATGTTAAAAGAGAAAGCAAAGCTTGCCGGCCTGCATGTTGCTTCTTCATGCCTCTGTTATAGGATCCCGGGTCGAAAGAAGGAGGAAATATGTGAACGGCCAGGGCATTAAATTTACAGATAGAGAAATAAATGAGTCACCAAATTTATTTGTACAGGTCGGCCAGCGCATATAGTTCTTTGAAGGAAAGGGGAAGGTGGAATAAGAGAGAGTAACTACTCAGAACACTCGCAGTGGTACAGAGAATAGAATTCTTGAAGAATTTGTTGTATCATTCATATTGTGTATGTGTAATTCGCAAATGGTGGGTGTATACTTACTCTGATTCCGATTCCTCTTTCTGCTCTGGCAAAGCAGGTAATTTGAAAAGATCATCATCATTGGACTCATTTGATGTTCCTCCTTTTTTTGGAGATATGTCTTTCCCCAAAAGACTGCTTATAGCAGTTTTTTTACTCAATAAAAGTGCAAGTTCTCGTTTAAGTCTTTCAGATTCAGAGTTGTACTTCAATTTATTGTGTTGCCTTTTAGCCTGAAGAATTTGAAATTAAATATACAATTATATTCTATTATCACTTTACAAAATTGAATATAAATGTTCAACGATTATGTTGAACATTGATAGTTGGTTAGTAAAAACAATTGAAATCCTTATTTTTTAATTAACTAAGTTAAATATAAACAAAACAAGTCACTTACTATTGTTTCCTTTTTTAAATCAGGAAATCCTCCATCAAAAACAAAGACTGGTTTGATTCTAAAATACAGTAATTTGCAGACTCTTTGGAATAAGCCTATCAAATGGGCATTTGGAAGGGGTGCCCCTTTTGTGTCTTGGTAACCTTTCACCATCTGGTGTAACCATATTGAAATATCTGAAAGTGTTATTAGTATGTATAAGATCTGTAAACCATGGAATATATCAAATATCGAAATTGATCATAATTTAATTATTGTTGCGCCCGACCTACTGCTATAACTTTATTTTCTAAAGTCTCTACGGGTACAGGCTTTCCCGCAGGCTCTAATAGCCGCCACAGTCCAGTGACTCCCATCGCGTGCAAATAAATTCAAGAACAGATTTTTTTGTTTACACTAATGTATATATCAGTGTACATAACAAAGGTCGTTTCCCACGAGATCTCCGGCCGGTCAATCGTCGGCGGTGGCATCGGTCTCTTCCTCACACATCGCAACTTTTCGCTGCATGAACTCAAATTATTTATTACGCACACATACACAGAACCACAAACGAAAGCCGCCGCTGCTGCCAGGGCGGGTGAGTCCGGCACAGACAGATCACGTCGTTCAAAAATAATAATCTGCCTTCAAACAAACAACACTACATACATAAAAAATAGGTAAACTGGTATAATTAGATTAGCTGTCAAATAGACAGGTCACAGAGGCAGATAGGGCATGGTAAGGGCCACTACAGACTTGCACTAATCTTCCATCCAATTTTTCTATCCATTGTCTTCTATCCACCATCCGAGTTAGGTATTTGTTTAAAGTGGGAAATGCGCTCAGGTATTTATTTTGTCTTAAGATAATGAATGATAATCTTCTTCACAATATTTTAAAGATTTAATATAATACAATAATAGCTGAAAGCTCAAACGAAGCGCTGGCGATTATCGCCTTATTTTGATTAAATGTTTAAATAAATTGTTTATATATTTAGAGCGTGGCAATCCCACGAGTTCGACCATTTCAAAAATACATAATATGTAAAGATTGCACTTCAAAAAAAATCATTTAGATAAAAATAAAAGATTGTATAGAATCCCAGATTCACCCTGCCTGCTACTGGGGCGCACTGACTGAGTTCGTAAATATGTATTCGGTTCACTACAACATATCAAATGTTTCACCACGACCGCGACTGACGACGACGCGACGCGCGACGCCCACTCTTTCCCACACTTTATTTTCTCACGCCCCATGCGTAACCCCACATCCTATGACCGCCTCACATCACAGTAGTCGCGCCCGCGGAGTCGACCGACCCCGTATCATTTGATTGTGTATTCGCGCGCGTGTAGCCGACATCACGCTTCCACTTCGCTTGTCTATGGTTTTATCTTTTGACAGTTCATATTTTTGGCGTTGTAGTGTCTCGTAAATTCATTCATCGTAAACGAAGATATTTTTATTCATAATAGTAAAGAAATCCTTAGAATAAGGAAATGTGATTTTATCAGAAGAGTTGTAGAATTCAATAAGATTGTAAATAGTAAACAGTAAACGGTGGAATGTTGGCTAGACTGTCGGAAAATTTGCTCGTCGAACAGGTGTTTTTGAATGAAATGTGTGCTAAGGTTCCCACAGTAATTATTTATAGTGTTGTGAATAATACAAAAGTTTATTGATCGGCGTTATTGTACACTGAAGTGGTCTGGTGAAATTCTCAAATTGTTCCGACAATTTGAGAAAAGGAGTCAATAAAATAAAGAAAATAACGGGACGCTACTTGTTTATTAAAGTGACATCTTCGCATAAGTTACGGATAATAATGTGGAGAGTGCATAGACTCCAAACAGAAGTGAAGTAATAAGCATGATCGCTGACATGAAGCTGTCGTCGAATATGAATCAGAGATACGGAAGCCGGTGAGCTGGAGTCGTGGCGAGCATGCCGCATCAGTACGGCGCGGGCGGCATGGCGCAGGGCCCGCCCTCGCCGCCGCCGCAGCACGGCGCGCTGTTCCCGCGCTACGCCAGCGCAGCCGGGCCAGGTGCCGGGGCTTACCGCCCTGAAGAGCGCCGTCTGACACGCGAAGCCATGGAGCGATACCTGCGTGATCGCTCCGACATGATAGTAGTCATTCTACATGCTAAAGTAGCACAAAAATCCTATGGAAATGAAAAGAGGTTCTTTTGTCCACCTCCTTGTATTTATTTGTTTGGTGATGGATGGCGGCTCCGTCGGGAACGCATGCTGAGAGAAGGGGAGACTGAGCAAGCGGCACAGCTGTGTGCCTTCATTGGTATTGGCAATTCTGATCAGGACATGCAGCAGCTGGACTTGAACAACGGTAAACAGTACTGTGCAGCAAAAACTTTATACATATCAGATTCAGATAAAAGAAAGCATTTTATGCTGTCAGTGAAAATGTTTTATGGCAATGGACATGATATTGGTATATTTAATAGTAAAAGAATAAAAGTGATATCAAAGCCCTCCAAGAAAAAGCAGTCCTTGAAGAATGCCGATCTATGTATTGCTAGTGGAACTAAGGTAGCTCTATTTAATAGATTGAGGTCGCAGACCGTGTCAACGAGATATTTGCATGTAGAGAATGGTAACTTTCATGCCTCTTCAACTCAATGGGGTGCTTTCACAATACATTTGCTGGACGATAACGAGAGTGAATCAGAAGAGTTTGCAGTGAGGGATGGTTATGTACACTATGGATCTACCGTCAAACTTGTTTGCTCAGTTACAGGGATGGCACTGCCAAGACTAATTATAAGAAAGGTAATTATTTAAAACTTTTATTATATATTGAAGCAATTTTTATTTTAAATTGAAAATGAATTTACCTAATTGTAAATGATAATTGTAAACATTGAGCTTACAAAATAAAAAAAACCACTAACATATATTCAAACCACCTAAAATACCTAAATTAATGATTTAAATTCAACTAACAAAATTAAAATTTAATTATGGAAAAGATCATTGAATGAGAATGATTTTTAAAACTATATTCTTTAAATTTTGTGAATATGTGATAGAAATTTGTATTACATACTTTTATACCTGTTGTCTGTGCAATTTATTCATAATTATATAAAATATTATTTGCAATTTGCTCCACATACATAGCGCTCCTCAACTGAACTGTAATCATTGCAACTTAAAAGAAGTATCTTTTAAGCCTAAGCCCTAAACATCGGAAAATATTTCTAACTTATAGAATAAAATTTCCTCCGTGTTTATTATAATATTATATAGAACATTCTAATTCGAACATTCAGGAGTGGTCTCTTAACCTAAAAGTTTGATAATAGTATGTTCTTATCCTGCTCTATTAAGAATGAGTAGGAAAGTGTTGTCAAATTTAGTTTTAAGTTTAGAGAATCAATCTGGAATTAGGCTCTAAGTCATCCCAGACAAATACTTCATTTCATTGTTCTACAGCAAAAACCCAGTAAATCGAAACTAGTTAATTTTATTTATTTAGGGACAACCAACAGAATATCCACTTATAAGATTAAAAATAATTTATAAATGTCAATTAAAAGTGGTATCTTAATTATAGCCTGCCACTGCATGCATTAATGACAAAACTAGCAGAATGTGTAATCTAAACAAACTTGATAATATAGAATTGATATTTTGGGAGACTGTAGTTGATTTTGTATTATCAACTAATTTTGATTTACTGGGTTTTTCGCTGTACAACAATGATTTGAAAATTACTTGATTACAAGCTCTCATTAACATAGTAGGTGTTTAGGTGAATTCATAATAAAACAAATGTATCTTACAATGTTGTCAATTATGGCATGCTTTTCTGAACTTGAAACTTTCTCCTTATCATTCTGTACAGAAAATGACAAGGATACACTGTTGTCAAATTTAGGTTTAGGTTTAGAGAATCATGCCAGAATCAACACCTAATTACATAATATGATTAAAAATTTTATTATTGTTATAGGTGGACAAACAAATGGCTTTATTAGAAGCAGACGATCCAGTATCACAGTTGCACAAATGTGCATTCTACATGAAGGACACAGAAAGAATGTACCTCTGCTTATCACAAGAGAGGATCATACAGTTCCAAGCAACACCTTGCCCCAAAGAGCCCAACAAAGAAATGATCAATGATGGAGCCTGCTGGACAATAATATCTACTGACAAAGCAGAATATCAGTTTTATGAAGGCATGGGCCCTGTCAGGTATATAAAATTTGATTATAGGCTTTAAATAGTATTTATTGTACAGACAGCCATAGTCAATTTACCCAAACTCAAATTTATCCAAATGACTTTAAACAGTATGTCTCTCAACATAAGATTCACTATCTCACAGGATGTTGATGATGTTGTGTACTAAATGGTTGACTGCAAATATATGACCTGCTTGTTTTTTTTAAGATTGGTGAAATAACATTTGGCTCACCTGATGTGCAGCAACCATATCTTATAGTAACTTGCAATACCAGGCTGTACTCATGTTTAAATGTAAAGATTTTTTTTTAGTAGAAATTTTATTTTCTTATAAATCTTTAGATTCAAACACCTAGCAGTTAATTGCTTAAAAATAAAAATATAACTATACTCATGTTGCCTATACTAAACCAACAGAAACAAAACACAACCAAAATGTAGTGACTTTTCTCCAAACCAAGGTAACTTTCCTCTATTTTAATGTAATATCATTTGTTGCAGGTCACCGGTGACACCAGTCCCATTAGTTCACTCATTAAATTTAAATGGTGGTGGAGATGTAGCAATGCTAGAGCTTGCCGGTGACAACTTCACCCCATCTCTGCAAGTATGGTTTGGTGACGTCGAGGCAGAAACCATGTATCGCTGTGCTGAGTCCATGCTCTGTGTTGTACCTGACATCTCACAGTTTCGGGGTCAATGGCAATGGGTCCGTCAACCGACTCAGGTACATAAAACAGTTTTCTTATTTTCTTTGATTCCATTAAAAAAAAATACTTAGGCTCAACTTACACTTGCGCAGATTCAAAGCGACAATACCTTAATAGTAGGAAAATATGGATTAATTTGCTACAGGCGAAATACAAACGCATCGTGTCGCTTCGACTCAATAGGCTTTTTTATGTCCATTTTAGTCAATTACAAATTGTGTAATAAAAAACTGCGTCACCTATAATTTATAATAATTTTGTTTTTCCACCATTATTACAAAACACAGATTGCTCATTATCACAAAACACAGATTTCTGTACAAGTTGTTTTTTTATAGATATTAACGGGATTGTTACCATGTACCTTGTTTTTTATGAGTCTCCGATATTTCGGCACTGTTGCAAGCGCCATGATCACGGAGTAACTGAAGTAATTGCGGTTAGATGTTATTGGCAGACATATCGGTCTACCCTCTGACGTCGTCTTTTACTGCGTTCGATACTACCACTACCATTGGTCACATTCTCACTATTCACTCGCATTTGTTCCCGGCACACAATACTCACAGTATCAGATCGCGGAACGACACTTTTTTGATTTTTGCGGTTTTTACACTTACGAACCACTGGATTCCACACACTAGACAATTTAAACCCATCCTCACGATTGAAATTCTTGTGTTTGGTTATTTCAATCGCTTCCCTGACCAATCTTGGTATGTAGTGGCGTTCTGTCGAGATAATTTGTGGCTTATGGAGCTCAATCCAGTGATTAGGACCCGAATCAATTAAATGTTCCGCGATGGCTGATTTTTGCGTATCATTATTTCTGACTGCTTTAATGTGTTCTTTCATTCGGCACGCTATTGTCCGCTTCGTTTGGCCAATATAAGAACTACCACAGCTGCAGTCGATCTTGTATACACCAGGTTTCTCCAAGGGGAAGTTATCTTTAGGAGACCGTAGAATCTGTGATACTTTTTGTAAAGGAGTGAAGACAGTATTCAGTGAGTACTTATTAAGTATGTTAGAGATCTTGTCTGTCACTCCTTTGACATATGGCAAAAATAGTGGTTGCCTGTCTACTTTGTGTTTCTGGTGTCTTAATTTGTGTTTGGGTGGAAACTTTCCCTTGTATCCGTTATTCTGTAAGACCTGCCGTACATGCTCCAACTCTTCGTGCAGGTGTTCCTTGTCACATAAGTCATATGCACGGTTCGTCAGTGAAGTGACTACAGAATTTAGATGTTTAGGGTGGTGATGCGAGGAGGCGTTGAGATAACGGTCTGTGTGTGAAGCTTTGCGGTGAATGGAGTGACTCAGCGAACCGTCATTCCGCACTCGAATCTTTACATCAAGAAAGGCCAGACTTCGGTCTTCTTCCATCTCATATGTGAACCGCATTTTGGTATGGACTCCATTCAAATTTGCCAAGTGTGCCTCGACATCTTCTTTGTTTCCTCTCAATACACAAAATACGTCATCGACATACCTCTTCCATAGTGCAATTTCTGTGGGGGCGGTGGCGAAAGCTTTTTCCTCAAAATACTCCATCCATATATTGGCTACTACTGGAGCTACCGGACTGCCCATTGCCACCCCATCTATTTGGAGGTAGTACTGACCTTGGTATATAAAGAAGTTCGTTGACAAACAATGATGTAACAACTTGGCATATTCTGTCGGGATGCCATTGTCCTGCAACTTCACCTTTACTACTTCCAGACAGTCCAACACAGGTACATTTGTGAAAAGTGATTCCACGTCGAAACTAACCATCAACTGATTGTATTCCACCTTGTTTTGGTGTAAGATTTCCACGAAATGGCGGGAATCCTTTACAAATGACGATGTTCGTCCCACTAACGGCTGCAATATTTTTGCTACGTGCTTGGCCAGTTCATACGTAGGTGAGTCTATCTGACTCACAATCGGACGTAGCGGCACATTCAGCTTATGTATTTTAGGCAGACCATATAGTTTTGGAGGTTGGACGTTTCTAGGACGCAGCAAATATTTGACGGTATCGTCGTCTAGAGCGTAGGCACATTCTTTTATAAGTGAGCGAGTGCTTCGATCAGTCCTCGCCGTTGGGTTGTAATTCACCTTAATATACGTGTTTTCATCAGTGAGTAGACTATGAATCTTACTTTCATACTCAGTGATGTCCATTATGACTGTCGCATTCCCTTTATCAGCTTTAAGTATTATTATATTCTTGTTCTTTCGAAGATCTTGTAACGCAGCTGATTCGGAGGAAGTAATGTTCGGTCTTGGTGGCTTCACATGACGTAACACCACAGCAACATCTTGTCTAAGTGTATCCGCATCGATTGCTGGTATCTTGTTACGCATGATCCCTTCTTCAACCGACCCAATCACCTCCTCATAGGGGATGCGTCTGGGTGTAATAGCGAAATTCATCCCCTTTTCAAGAACTGACTGTGCAGCGTCTGTTAACTCAATGCTCGACAAATTGATAACCGTTCGAGATGGTAGTGAGTTCTCGTAGTAGGGGACATCAGACTTTTGTCTTTTTAACAATAACTCGAACTTACGATCTTGTTTCATAGCACTAAGTTCCCTGGTACGTTGGGCTTGTAAGTAGGTAACACGATCGCAAATATCAAAATCACCTGTCGAAAGAGTTTCACTGCACTTGAGATGGATTTGGTATAACTCACACTCACCTTTGTCCAATTGGTACCTACAATTACGTATCGATTTTCGCAATAGTTTTTTACTCGCATTTCGCAGAACACTCGCGGATCCATGAATGTCTGGTCGTGGTTTTATCTTGACACATATGGGGATAAGGTCCGAATTACGACACTTCACTAGGAATGATAGTGATTCCTTTAAACACTCACACTTTTTCCGCGCGCGTTCTAGATCTTTTATTAATTTTACTGTTTCCGGCCCGTACCGGTTAACGATATATTGTTTTAAACTTTCATGGTCACTAACATTATAGATATTAACGGGATTGTTACCATGTACCTTGTTTTTTATGAGTCTCCGATATTTCGGCACTGTTGCAAGCGCCATGATCACGGAGTAACTGAAGTAATTGCGGGTAGATGTTATTGGCAGACATATCGGTCTACCCTCTGACGTCGTCTTTTACTGCGTTCGATACTACCACTACCATTGGTCACATTCTCACTATTCACTCGCATTTGTTCCCGGCACACAATACTCACAGTATCAGATCGCGGAACGACACTTTTTTGATTTTTGCGGTTTTTACACATACGAACCACTGGATTCCACACACTAGACAATTTAAACCCATCCTCACGATTGAAATTCTTGTGTTTGGTTATTTCAATCGCTTCCCTGACCAATCTTGGTATGTAGTGGCGTTCTGTCGAGATAATTTGTGGCTTATGGAGCTCAATCCAGTGATTAGGACCCGAATCAATTAAATGTTCCGCGATGGCTGATTTTTGCGTATCATTATTTCTGACTGCTTTAATGTGTTCTTTCATTCGGCACGCTATTGTCCGCTTCGTTTGGCCAATATAAGAACTACCACAGCTGCAGTCGATCTTGTATACACCAGGTTTCTCCAAGGGGAAGTTATCTTTAGGAGACCGTAGAATCTGTGATACTTTTTGTAAAGGAGTGAAGACAGTATTCAGTGAGTACTTATTAAGTATGTTAGAGATCTTGTCTGTCACTCCTTTGACATATGGCAAAAATAGTGGTTGCCTGTCTACTTTGTGTTTCTGGTGTCTTAATTTGTGTTTGGGTGGAAACTTTCCCTTGTATCCGTTATTCTGTAAGACCTGCCGTACATGCTCCAACTCTTCGTGCAGGTGTTCCTTGTCACATAAGTCATATGCACGGTTCGTCAGTGAAGTGACTACAGAATTTAGATGTTTAGGGTGGTGATGCGAGGAGGCGTTGAGATAACGGTCTGTGTGTGAAGCTTTGCGGTGAATGGAGTGACTCAGCGAACCGTCATTCCGCACTCGAATCTTTACATCAAGAAAGGCCAGACTTCGGTCTTCTTCCATCTCATATGTCCTGGAGTCCATACCAAAATGCGGTTCACATCAAGTATCACAGATTCTACGGTCTCCTAAAGATAACTTCCCCTTGGAGAAACCTGGTGTATACAAGATCGACTGCAGCTGTGGTAGTTCTTATATTGGCCAAACGAAGCGGACAATAGCGTGCCGAATGAAAGAACACATTAAAGCAGTCAGAAATAATGATACGCAAAAATCAGCCATCGCGGAACATTTAATTGATTCGGGTCCTAATCACTGGATTGAGCTCCATAAGCCACAAATTATCTCGACAGAACGCCACTACATACCAAGATTGGTCAGGGAAGCGATTGAAATAACCAAACACAAGAATTTCAATCGTGAGGATGGGTTTAAATTGTCTAGTGTGTGGAATCCAGTGGTTCGTATGTGTAAAAACCGCAAAAATCAAAAAAGTGTCGTTCCGCGATCTGATACTGTGAGTATTGTGTGCCGGGAACAAATGCGAGTGAATAGTGAGAATGTGACCAATGGTAGTGGTAGTATCGAACGCAGTAAAAGACGACGTCAGAGGGTAGACCGATATGTCTGCCAATAACATCTACCCGCAATTACTTCAGTTACTCCGTGATCATGGCGCTTGCAACAGTGCCGAAATATCGGAGACTCATAAAAAACAAGGTACATGGTAACAATCCCGTTAATATCTATAATGTTAGTGACCATGAAAGTTTAAAACAATATAAAGTTGTTTTTTTTTTATCTAATTTATTGTGATGTAAATTTAAAATCTGAAATGGAAAAGTACAAAATACATAAATCTACTTTATGCAACAACATTGAATGCAGTTATTTGCACATTGTTAAAAAGTCTATATTGTGCCATGGGAACTGAGATTTTGCTAGTTCAATGTGCAGTTGTATAGCCATATTGTCAGATAGCATTTTTTTTTCATTTCAAGAAGGTCTTTGTTTTCATAGTGTCAATTTCTTCTGCTTATATGTAATCTGTAGCAAAACCTATACTTATCGGCTTTGATGTCGTACAATTGTGTCTACTGACTTGCTATGCTAAAATCGTCTTTGACCAATTGAATTATGGTGCATAAACTTGGTAAAAATTTACAAAATCGCTTTGCAAATTCAGAAGGTAACTGAACCCTATTTTTGTGATGCATTAATTTTTGTATAATAATACAGTACTACTATGTGATTCTCTTTTGCAGGTGCCTGTATCGTTGGTTAGAAACGACGGTATAATATATGCGACTGGTCTAACGTTCACATATACTCCGGAACCAGGGCCTAGACCTGTGTGTCCACCGGTCGATGACGTCATGAGGCCCGAACAACCCGGTTGGCACCACGATGCTCATACTCACCGTTTGCCAGACAATGCCCTGCAATAGCCCATGGACTGCAGACTGGAGGACAGTCTGCAGTAATGAACAGAAATCTGGGGTCAATTTTTATTGTCAATTAATAACAAAGCGGTCTACAGAGCCTAGAAAATATAGTGTAGTCTTTGAAGAAGGCTGTGCAACAGTTTGAAAACTTATTTTAACAATAGCTACTATGAAATAAACAGGCTCCATTGAATAAAACGAAAAGACTGTTTTATATATAAAATGCAGCTAATGCTATTGAGCCTGGAAGCTGTAGTGAAAATTCCTAAGAGTATAAAACAGTTGTAACTGAATGTTAGCTTACTTGCGAAAGCCCCAAAGAAAGTGGTTAAACTCAATCTCAAAGTGATACCAGAAGTGACTGTCAAGTGTATTGGTGAGTGATTAAAAGACTATATTTGAATTATTATTTAATTGTGTTTTTTGTGATAGCCACATCTCATAATTTAACTCTAAAGAAGTATAATTGACTTTCTCAAATTACTGGTTATTTTGTCGATTTCATTGGAAACTGATGATGATTTTATTACATTTGAATTGTTTTCCTTTTCCCTGATATTCTAGTCTGTTTGAAATCTGTTCAGTCTAAGTTTATAAATTATTTTGGAAAATTACACAACTCCTTGTGAAAATTCCACAATGTAGTTGCTTAATGACTTCAAATTTTGATTTAAATCCGAACAGAATTCAGCTCAAATCAGACCAGGAACTGATTTAAGTAGTATGTCAAATATCTGCTTAGTTTAAATGTTTTGTTAAGATCAGCTTAAAGGTTATAATATCCCTGCTCTGGAATATTATGCCTTAATTCAGCTTATTCTAGAGATTACACTATGACGAACAAGTTAACAAAAGTTTGATGTCAAGCTTGGTTGAAGCTTTGATTCTGAAACATTATTGTCTCATTAACATTATTTTTCTGTGCCTAAAATTATATATTTATATATCATCAAGGTTATAATACCAAATGTTATAAATTTTCAGCAATAAGATATATTTGTATGGGTTGAATTGACTAGAAGTTGTGTTTAAACAGAAGATTTTAAGGTAAATTATAATTTAGATAAAACATACAATCATTACATAATAAATAAAAATTGAATATTAATTTGCTCATGTAATTAGAGATTGGATATAAAATTGCACCGTAAAAAAATGCAGGTAGCAATGCGACTCAAAGGAGATAAGTGCTTGAATTCAGTCTTATTATTATTGGTAGTAAAAGTGTATGAAGCATTCCTATTATGTTTATATCATTTCATTGCTATTACAGGGTAGATTACTGACCAGTATATTTCACAGGGCTGAGCCTTTATACAGAGTTTTGTTCCAAATTATTTTATTTCTTATAGTAATAAATAATGGCCTATGCATTGTATTATACAGAACAACATTGGGGTGATAAGCGCGTTGAAAATATTCTGACGATTTGAAAACCTCCCCCTATTTGAAGTCGGTTTAAAATTCAAATAAAAGTGGTATTCAATCAACAAAAATCATAAATCAAAAATATTGGCGTAATTTCATATTACCCTAGATTAAATCAAAAAGGGAAGGTACGCCACTCGCGGCTCAAAAGTGATCCGCTTAAATTGTGATGCATGACCATAATTCGCTTTAGTCGCAATTAGACATTCAAACACGCTGCATGAGCACTCAATATAACATTATTGTTATAAAGATAAAACAATGCCTTCGCTGCTTTTATAAAGAACACAAATACAGTAACACCCGTTTAAGACGATTTCACAGGGACTCGTCGGACACGTCCTAAGCGGGAAAGCGTATTACGCGGGATTGCGGGATAGGGAAATTTCGAATGTAGGTATTGCATTAAATGTACAATTTAAGAATTATGTTCGTTATAAAAAATATAATGTATTATTATTACTTTTGTATTTAAATTAATAACTTATTTTAGTTTGGCAAAAAGATTTTGAGGCATGCAATTACAAGAGTTTCAACATAATTTAACTTTTGCAGTGCGTCTTCGCTTCCATTCAAAGAAGTTATATAGCGTCTTAATTTGCTGCTAATGTCTGGGCTTGTGACAAAATCGGAGTTGACAAATCTTCTTTTGATCATAATCAGTAAGGGCCTCTTCTTGTGTGTTATTGACATTCTCAATAAGATCTTCAATTGATTAAATTTTATACGGTGCTACATTGTCATCAATGGAAGAATATCCAGGAAAACCCTGGGGGCGCTTAGCGTGCATCGCTCGTAACGTCAATCGCTGGCCGTTGCCGCAAGAGGTATTTATTATGTGTGCTGGGTGTTGGTGATTTAGGCGTATTAAACGGGATGACGAATCGTATATAATCGTAAGCGTTAAGAAATGTATGAAAACATGTCTCAATAAACAAATGCCTTGGCAACACTTCATTCGTAAAAATGTAAAAACATTTTTTTTTCAAAAATCACGGTTTGTCGTGAATTTTATTTACGTAATCGCCATTTTGTTGTCAAGAAAGGGACAACAATACAGCTCAGCCGTACGGACTCTGAAGCGGACTCACTGTTTCGCTCGCGCTGCTTTGAAGCGTACAGTTCTGTTTCGTTCGCTAGATTTAATTTTATGTACAGACGTGTGCGTGCGTGAGAGTTGCTTATGTAGTTAAGTCGGGTCATATTTTATTTGATGCTAGTATGAGCGTACCGTATCTTCCCTATTTGTTTTAATCGAAGCGTATTACGTACTAAAGTGCACCCTGTTGAGTACCTGCACTATATACTAGGTCTTTTTAGGACATGGGATCAGAATAGTAAACAAAACTGTCATAGGAAATACTCGAGCGCGTCAAATTTATTTGGTCCACACACCACTTTTCGTTGCCAGTTGCCATGTATGTTGACAGGGCTGGATTTAAGGCGGGGCTGTGGCCCATGGGCCCCCGCAATAGAGATACAAAATAACCAAATTTCGACGATGGATCACCTAACAGGGGGCGGAGTGCAAATCGTAAAATACCTCGTTAAAATTATACCGCGATTACACTTGATCGTTAGCTTGGATACGAGGACCAATAGAATTCGGGTAAACAACTAAAAAGTGTTAATGAACGAAGTCGAGAGTACGCCTGTATTCGGATAGATTTCCTTTTGTTTACCCGACACCGTCTCTCAGCCCATATTCTAGTGTAGTGTAAGTTTTGCTTCGGGTTACCGAATTCGAGTAATGTCTTTCGTACACCCGAATACGGGCTAGGGGTCATCCATAAATTACGTCACACGAATTTCATGATTTTTTGCCCCTACCCCCGTCCTTGTCACAGCTGGTCACATTTGTGAGACTCCCCCTCCTTAGTGTGACGTCATATATTTTTCAAATGTACATTTAGAAATTACTGAATGAAAACAGCGGTTCTAAAATCAGTTTTATTTCCATTTAAATTATTTTTTAATAATATTAACATCAAATCAAACAATTAACAAAACAAAAAACGATGAATTATAGTAATTAAAAAAATTACCAAACAAAAACGATTGACATGTTAATTAAAGACATTAACAAAACAAAAATCGATTGACTTAATTGATCACTGGCAAAGCACCACTTTGTTCTCGTTTGGGTAATTAATGTTTTCGTAAAGTAATAGTTTCAACACTTAGATTATAATAGATTTTGAAATGTGACGTCACGAAATTTAGGACTCCTCCCTCCCCCTTGTCACACGATGTCCCACTTCGTCGACCCCCTCCCTCCCCCTTAACGTGTGATGTAATGTATGGATAACCCCCTACGACCAGATGTAATTGCGGCGTAAGGTTAGGATAAAATGATTGGACGATTAAAAATTCCCTTCGCGCCTGGAGCGTCAGTTCTGAATGAGAGCTTTTTGGATCACTAAATTTTTTTAACTTTTTATCTTCTATAACTCCATTATGGCCACCTCGTGCAAACTGGCAGATTAACATACCGCACCGCACATTGAGCAAACACACTTTTATAATTTTAGCGCTCGAATATTTCCACGTGACTATTTGTTTAAGCTTTGGAAAACCTATTAACGTTCCCCCTAATGTGACAGTGATAATGATGCTATTTAACTTTATTATTTCTTCAACCATCAAAATCCGGGGAAATGTCCAACGCCTTAGAAAACCACTAGAGCCACTCTCCATTTCCCGGCTTGAGGTCTGCTAAATCCTTAGCCTTAGCCTCGCCGCCCCAAAGCCTGTGACGCTGTAAAGATCATCTGAGCCCTTTCACCAAATACACACCAAAAAACCTACCCGTTTTAAAGTGTTCAGTTCAATGATTGGCGTATGTGTTAAATAAATAACAAATATCTACTGAGCAGTACCAATTACAATATGACGTCCTACAAAAAAGATCGAAGCGTCTCTAAAGTAGCTAAATTCAACTGATGCGGTATTATTCACATGCTGAAAGTAAGCATATTTGTAGTCAATATTAGCAACGAAGTTTTCGATTCTGTTTAAGCTTAGAGAAGATTTAATGATCTGTTTCATTATCAATTAATATTTCTGACCTAATGATAGTGACCTGGCGGAATCACAAAAAGGAAACCAGAGTTTTTTCAGTTCTTCAAACGTTTTTACGCAGTCATAACATGTAGAATATATTTTGCTCTACCTATAGGTATCGAACCTTCTCCTAGTTACCTATCTCTTTTATTTTGTGTATTACGTATTTAATCTTAATGTATTTTGTTTGAAATCGATTTGAATATCTCGCCGATATCTACTCATTGCTAAGTAGCTTTAGGTAGCGGCAAGCTTCTTGAGCTAAACCACAGACAAATAAACCTGTGCAGTAGACTTTTTTTTATATAAATTTGCTACTGCGCAGGCTACCTTGTCTATGGTTGGTGCTCAAGAAGTTTGCCGGGGTGTATACTGCAGAGCAGGTATGCTTTCCAATTACAGAGCATAATGCGACTCAGTGCCGCACAATGCCCAATTATGCTGATGCTTAATTGGAACGTGAATTAGTTTTCAAATGCACCAGCAGAGTGCGCTAAGTTCAGTGTTGAAAAAAAATGTCAATGTTTGTACCTTCATCCATACTTATATTTATTTTTTAACAGTTTGAATGAACTTTGATTATTTAAAAAAAACTATTTAATGAAACGAAAGCTTAAATAATTTTTCAACAATAAATAATATTACTAACGATAACATATAAATAAAACATTTCGATCAATGCCAACTTAAAGAAAAAACACTTGTTAATTTTCTGTCTCTAAGTTGGTACGATTGCACGCATCACACGAAAGCATCACTTTTGAGAGTGCTCAATTGTGCGAAGCGTTGCTGTAGTTGGAACACTCAACGTTAAGCATTATGCCGCATAATGCGCTATAATGCTGTAATTGGAAAGCAATCCAGATAAGTAGGTATGTATTCTATCATGAAACTGAAATAAATCTCTTGTGTTCGTAGATTTGTTTCTTCGGGGCCAAATAGCTATTAAATCCATGACAAGTCATTTGTGTTTATATTTTAGTGTTTTATTTAAATAAGTGTAAAAATATTGGACCGAGGATTTTAGAGCGAGGGGAGTTTTGTACATTTACTACTTAATTTAAGTACTGTATTGTCAACGACAAGACAAAGCCAAATAAGTCCTTTCAGGTACCTATCAATATATACATCCCGGCAAACTTCTTAAGCAACTACTACACTGCGCAGTAGCAATTTTACATACAAAAACGTCTCCTGCGCAAGTTTATTAGTTTGTGGTGCTGCTGAAGAAGTTTGCCGCGACCTATACTAGTATTTAATTACATAAGTATCTACAATAAACTACTGACTTATACATGAATTATTGGAAATATTGTCATATTTTACGTTTTGCCTTTATCTATTTAAAAATAATGACAGACAGGACGAAAGGCGAAAATATTGATTTCGATTCGTTTCCGATCTTTTGTGTTTAAGCGACTGATGTTGACATCCGATTGCGTTTTATATCTTACTGATACGATAATAATGTGGAAGATAAATGTACAATGCTGGTAAGTAATACAAAACGTAATCAGATGTGAAGGCCGGCTGCGATTGGTAGCCAGAGTGTATTACGCTTCTCCTCATTCGTAATATGTTAGTCATTCGTGTTTTGTGTTGTAAAAACATCCTTTAATTTTTAAACTGTATCTAAAAATTGTGTTGTGTAGGCACTTCACGTGTTGTGAAATACAAATGGAGGTTGTAATACCTCTAATGTAGATTATCTGAGATTTAAACAACCTAATTAGTTCTAGTTTAGACAATAGTACATTTATATTAATTAAAAATTATGATTGAAATTCTATTTATTTTACACGAATATTTTTATTGTATTATGAAGATGATTTTGGTATACGTGCTTGTGTTTGAAAATGAGAATTTGATGTCTATTTTAATAGTGTGATCAAAACATTCCGTGTGGAAAGTGTAATAAGAAGTACAAAATATATCAATATTTTTGTAGTGAAACATTGAATTACAATATAAATCTAATGGAATTGGTAAATTTCTATTACAATAAAATTAGTATTAAATATTATACATACTTGATACGAATAAGCACTAATCACGTCGTCAATTTGTATAAAAATAAGATTTTCAGATGAAATTGTTTATACTGACCATTTGAGTTTTCAACTCTGAAGTTAGCTACGAGGTATAAATATATAATACTAAGAAACTAACTTCAGAGTTGAAAAATTAAATAAAGAGTATTGTACTAGTTTCAATCTTTTTACGCGGTAATTACTCGTCTATCACGGAAGCGGTTGTCGAGTTGGATTATGATAACATAACTAAATAGTTACTGATATTTTGAACAGTGATTTTGACACATGAATATTTTTAATAAAACCGAATCGAATCATACAAGACTTTTATTTTATTTATGGCTTCTGCTGATCTTTAGTAAGATGCGTGAGGTTGTAAGCGTTTACCACAATTTACGTTTAACATAATCCGGATCTCACTTTAAACCTATTATTTAATTGAAGACTAGGGGTCAAGTGAAGGTAATTAACTAATTATGAATCAGAGTTAATCGACAAAACAGTTCTCTGTGGGAAACGTCTTCAAAATGTCTTCACATGATAATAACAAGTGCCTTCCCCTACATACCGTTCCGCACTGCTGGGTTCGACCTCTGAATAATTATCACAAGTTTATATCGTTCGCCATTGTTCGAAGCCGTGATTTAGAATTTTATATCAGGTAAAATTATGATATATGTGCGTGGGAACGTGGATTTAACATGTTTTTTTACACATAAATGGACGTATTCTATTGCTCTGCAAGATTGCTGAAGCGAAGCTACGCGATCTAAAACATCTTTGCTGACAAAAAGGTATGTAAGTACATATAATGAGCCTCCTTCGTAGGTAATACTTAGTTGCCGAAGACACGCAAGCCGTGACGCTTTTGAAATGAGTGATAGTTAATTATGCCTTTGGCTGCGTCGAGTCGCACCTCCTTATATGAGATACATAATAATACAGTTGGAATCAATCATAAGATTTCCCTGCATTCTGTTTGTTGATGTCATTTCCGTATAAGAATAATTACGAATAATTAAGTTTTACTTAGATGACAAGTGGGTAACATTAAATATCATACTGAAACAAACTTTGTTGTTTTTATTATCTCTTTAATATGTATACAATAAATTTAACACGATCTTTAATGAGGATCATGACTAGGTCAGCAAATCAGCCCAAAATCAACAGTATAATGATCCAATAAGCTTTTTTTATTAATATACCTTACAAATCATCGAAATCGGTTAAGTCATTGCGATTTTATAAATAATTTTATGGTAGTCAATATTCACTGACGACCGAAATGTGTGACGTCACAGAGCTCGATCGTGGTTCACCTCCGCACGGTGGAATATGGTAGAACAAACGCATATCAAAATTGATTTTTATTACTGATTGAAATTGGGTAATATATGAATATAATTTAATAGTTCAAAAGTCGAAGTTTAATATTCTGCAGCGTAATTCATATTTTATTTCGTAAAAGTATTTTTTTTCATGTAGCAAAGTTAAACGTTTAGGCAGCTGGGAAATATTAAGTTCTTCATTTACGTTTTTCAACGTGAAATAGTTTTAAAACTTAAAATGAAAGGTATAAGGTATTATATATTTTTGAAAAGCACATTTATCAGAGGTTAGAAATAAATACAATTGATTGTTTTTAATACGAATATAAATTTAAAAACCAATTTAAAGAAAAAATGGAGAAATTTTTTTTTTCCTCAACTTCGTCGACACTTTTAACATTTAGAGTTGTTTACCGATGCTTTGAATTTAATGTTAAATTATAGGTTAGTTACTCATCTAAAACATATTAAAAAAATTAGCTGCGGCTTTTTGCGGTTTTCGGAGATATGTGAAAAAATCGAATACTAGTCTGGGAACGGAAATCGCTATCAAATGCGGTTTTGTAGTTTACTTTTATCATCAATAGTTTATGGTACATTTTATGAATTAATTATTTGATATTGTTAAGTAGGTTTTATCATTTCGATGTCATTTTCCGTGAGAAAATAGATATCTGAAATAATTCCCACATTCTGAAACAATATAAAAAGGGCAGTGAAAAAATATGTCTCCATTACCGTTTCAGTAGTCTTTACGTCTACGTACTCTAGTAGGTACGGTTATTTCATTATTCAACGTGTCTACTTTTAACTGTACTAAACGTGAGTTAATAGTGTCTTATATAGAAGGCGGAAAAACGACTGCGGCACTTTCAACATATTTGGAGGGAAAACAAATTTCGGATGTCAATATATGTTTTATTATTGACCATATTCAAAGGGATGTCATCCCTTCGTTCAATAAACGCTGGAGTGATGCAGGACGCAATAAAAATACCTTTTTAAGAAAGAACACCAATTGGTTGGATTCTGAATATTCGTTAACTATACCAACATCAGAAAACGTGTCAACAGACTCTACACCGTCTACTTCTTCTGGTAAACGAGGAAGACCGTGTGTGTCATATGGAGACTCTTCAGAATCAAGCAAAAAAAGAAAAAACACCATTTTGCTAAATGAATATGGTTTGGAGCACATTCTAAGCGCATATCATCAAGGATTGCGTTTTATAGGAGAAGGAATTGAAGCAAAAGTTGTTGAAAAATTAAGGTTGGCTGATGCAGAGAAAAAGGTTTTCGTTATAAATCAATTAGATGATGCAAAAATAATTAAAGGGCTTACAGATGAAGAAGCATTAAGTGTCTTCATCGACTTGGAACTAACAAAGGCACAATATCTGTATCTCAGGCAGGAACGTTACAGATGAAAGAAACTGTTCTTTATTTCCACCATACTATAAAATACAGGAAATGAAACAGAGGTGCTATCCACCATCATCAACAATCGAAATCACAAATACTTATGCAAAAATATTGAGAGTTCAAGATCTATTGGATCACACTGCAGCTCGAATTTTATCAATAGATAAGGTTTACAAGAATGGACAAAAACATTTACTATTGTATAGCAAATGGGGTTGTGATGGGTCATCTGGACAAAGCCAGTACAAGCAAGCACTACCAGAGAAGTCTGAACTTATTTCCGATGCAAATTTATTTATTACTTCTTTTGTGCCTACCAGATTAACTGACGTGGAATCAGGCGCCATCACATGGCAAAATCCAGTGCCTTCATCTGTTCGTTTCTGTCGGTCTATATCTATAGAATTTTGCAAAGAAACGCCAGAAAAAACTAAATCGGTTGTAGATGAAATAAAAAATCAAATACAAACTTTGCTTCCATCAATAATTAATATAGAAGGCGTGGGAGTCCAAGTCAAGCATGAACTTTTTTTGACGATGATAGACGGAAAAGTGGCACAAGTTTTAACAGATACGCCTTCTAGTTCCACATGTACAATATGCAGAGCAACTCCTAGACAAATGAATGATTTAACCAAAGTAATAGCTAGGCCTGAAAATGAAAATGCTTATCAATACGGATTATCGACATTACATGCCTGGATTCGTTGCATGGAAATGATATTACACATATCATATAATCTATCTTTCCAAACGTGGTCTGCTACAAGCGAAGAAAAAAAAGACTCAAACAAGAAAAAAAGGCTGAAGTACAAAAGCGATTTCGTGAAGAGTTGGGTCTAAATATCGATAAACCACGACAGGGGACGGGAAATAGTAATCATGGCAATACTGCTAGGAGATTTTTTTACAATGCTGCCTGTTCTGCTGATATCACAGGGATTGACATTGATTTAATTAAACGGTTATATATAATTTTGCAGGCTTTGTCATCTGGTATAGTGGTAGATAGTAAGAAATTTGGTAATTATGCTCTGGAAACTACAAGAATATACGTGAGTAAATATAGTTGGTATTACATGCCATCATCTGTCCACAAAATTTTAATTCACGGAGAGAGTATCATAAACCATTTCGCGGTACTACCAATTGGGCAACTTTCAGAAGATGCTCAAGAATCTCGCAATAAGGACTATAAAAATTTTCGCTTACACCATGCTCGGAAATGCTCTCGAATAGCTACAAACGAAGATGTAGATGTAATAAATAATACTAATAATACTATTTTAAATCATTTTGTGACTTTTCTTTTTTAATTAAAAAAAATACGCATAATTCCAATTCATCAAACATTACTTATATGAATCCTTATGTATCACTTTATATTATAGCAAAATTTTATAAGTATATCTTTCAAATTGACGGAGTTACAGATTTTTAATCCGAAACACACCGAAATATTCCACAGTCCGGTCGAACTTCAGTAGCGTCTCTACGCACGCTCGCACCCTATGAATGAGCGCCTATGAATTTGGTCATAACTTCGTCAGTATTTGTCTTAGGACAAAAATAGATTTTACCACTGTATTTTATGGAATCCCTATAAATCTGCATTCTCAATTAAAATCGTTACGGATCCTCATTGAGAAGCATTCAAAATGCTAAATACAGTACCTAGTACCTACACTGGTTTTTCTCACCTGTACACGAATTCTGTATGGGTTTTGGTTTATGGCCAACTGAGCCCTTATGCTTTTTTTATAACTCGTACGAAAATGGAAGTGTTTTTCTCGTTTAATAATTATGATAGAAATAAGAATATGTTTTCCGTCTTTGTAATATTTGGTAATCGACTACCTTTGATTAATACCTAATCAAAGCCGACTACTTAAATGGAAAATTTTGCCCATATTCCGTAACTGGTTATTAATTAAGAATAGTATACAAATATACCATATACTAAGTATATGGTTTATAGTTATACCAGCCCGTAATAAGGAAAATGTCAGTATATATATCTTTCGTTCCTTGGTGCTGTGAAAGCGAAACAATTCGGACTAATATCATAATATAAGGATGGCATTCAAGGTTGAATAGAAAAATAGGTCAAAAATAGCCGTCTTACAAAAATCCTAATTTTCATTCAAAAATAACCTTAAGCCATGCTTTACTAAAAACGGATATGAAAAGTAAAGGTCATGAAGAAATTAATGCGACAATTAATTAATGAGGTAATTCAACGAAACGCAGCAAAACAAAATTAACGAAGAACATTGCATAGAAATGTGTATGCATATGCGTAGGTCATTATTGTATAAATTTTATTGAGAATCCCTCAGGAACCTAACATTTTCTCGGGTTAAGAATTTCCTCACATAACATTCCTGGGTGCTGCACGTCCTCTATCAACTTACAACCTGTCCGTCGCGATATGGTTAAAACAATGAATGCTCAGAACGCGTCATGGCTTTTCTTCATTGCCACAACGCGTTGAGATCGAATAGCATGTCAGCCACGACACGAATTTCGCTATTTGGTCTTTCTGTGATTGCCACAACGCGTCGTGCGCGTTTTCA